TTCATTTAAAAAAACCTTTTTGTGATACAAAATTTAAAAATGGCTTTGAAGAAAGCGCAAATTTTGAATCATACCTAAGCCTTTCGTCTGACACTATTCAGTGTATAAAACGTCAGAAATTAGATAGAAAGCTTCATGCTAGGAAATCATTTAGTTAATTCATTAAGGTTAAGTCTCAAACTGAATGTTGCTTTTTGCAAGTGGTGTAAAGTAGGTTGAGTTTTTCAACGTTTCCAAGTTGCGCAGAGTACTTTGCTTTAGTCTGTCTTTTCACGAATTTGACTGTTCTACTAACCAAAGCGTGATCCATTTCGTACTTTATCTCTTCTCCTTTTATAACTTTGTAGAGAAGTTACAAAAAAGGTTAGACATCAACACTCGAATGTTCTTTGTATTTAATAATAAATTAGGGCATTTTAAATCTTTTTTGTGACAGTGCGTCCGCGTAACCCTTAATGACGAATTCAAAATAATATTTGATAGCCTACAGCACTTCATGTGAAGTTGCCAAGTCCTTAGATTTAAGTTTTGATTAATGTTCGCTCCGCCCCTGAATGCAGATGTGTCCCGCAACATCCCCGTTAATCAGAGAATGAGCAGAAAACCCTTAAAAGACTTGGGTTCTCATTAAAAAGGATCTCCAAACTAACAAAAAATGGAGGTAGGATTTCTCTAGATATGTTTCATTATACACAGGGCTTTGTACTCCCCTCCCATGTTCATTGGTATTAAATTAAGTTGAATGAATTAGGCAAAAAGGTTACATTATACCTCGAACAAATTTAGAAATCGTTTGCTATCTAAGATAAAAACGTAGTTCTGAGGGCCGAGGAATGTGGTGTGTGTGTCTAGAGTATAGTATAGCATAGTATAAGAAACATACTGCTTTATACAATTTGAACAGCATTTGAAAACTTGATGCAAGTTTTATAATAATGCCAAGTAAAATGTCTCAAATTGTCAAAGGTTAAGGCAGCTTCTAGCTACTTGGGCTTCTTGTCAGTTGTGTAGTTTTAAACAGCCTAACGGCACTAGAACGTTTTTATTTTAACGATATTTGATGGAGCTCTAAACTAACTATAGAAAGAAATTTACACAAAACATCAAATTAACCTTAAATTCTCAATTTTAATTTGGCGAAGTAGCAAAATTTGCCTTCCAAACAAAAGACGCCGTTTCCTCAATAGGAAGCTCAATCTTGTACATCAAAGTCCACCCTGGCGAAGTGTGCAATTTCGATAAGTCTGATTCAAAATAGCAGTTTTCATTGGTTGTTGAAGAAATTATGAGAAACAATTGACCAGAAAACAAACCAGTTGTAGAGTGGAGTATCAATGGAGGCTATTTGACTATGTATTTGTTATTTGTGATTGGTTCTGTCTTGGTCCTACCAAACTGTAAGATATCGAAGCGGTTATCCTTTATGCAGATACAACGGCTTAAAGATCACAAAGCTAAATAAATGCTAAACGTACGGTCAACTACTACCTGGTAAATATTTGTAACTCGCTTTCTGGATGGCTTAGTTGTTTTCGCAAGTAAACAGCAACAAGAAAATTGCGATGACTGAAACAGACTGGAAAATAAGATAGCGGGTTTCGTAAGATTTTGCACCACTAAAAACGCACAAAAACGTCTTGAAATCGATAAGCAAATGCTAGCTAACGCAAACAACGATTTGTTCCATATGATGTAGCAAGGAACCATGTCAAAACAAACCTCGTAACTGATACGTAGTCTCCATTTCACTGTTCTCTTGTGCTAGAGCCCAGGCTCGTTAGATATCAAGTATCAATACTAGCACTAACCTGAGAGAGATCTTTGTTGTATTTGTTCGACAAGTAGTATCTTTGCATCCCTTCTATGCTGGCAGGCAGCTCTTTCTTGAGAAGAAAAACATACGAATGGCTGTATTGCCAAATAAATTGAAGGTTATTGCAAAGGTCTCAGTGGCTGTGGCGTTTGATTATCACTTTAAGAAGGGTTTGAATAAGTTGTATAACATCGGAGAAAAAAATACAATCTAATGATATAAACCTATTGACATTCTCAATATATTAAATCGTTCCAAGTATCCGAAACATTAAAGTACCTGACAGGCCTGACAGAATCTACCAATGAAGCAAAAACAACAACCTATTATGGGGTAAAAGACAGTTGTTTTGTCATCTGAACGACTTTGCGTTTAGACGATTTATAGTTGAAAACGGACGAAGGTTTGCGTGTAGAGGAAGAAGTCAGTTGTGTTCGAAGGTCAGAATCTTTCAAATGACCTGCTTGTCCAGTAATTGCTTGCGTCGAGAGGCTAATAGGCTGTTGCAACCACAGACGTAGATTCATAGAAAACCGACCAGTAACATTGATTGTACGCCGAGATTTTCATTCTTGAATAGCTCATTTAAACACTGTTTGTCATAGCCATTAAGCACTTTTCAAATCCGCTCTTGGTGCTTGAAGTGACAGTCGGTGACCAGGGGAATGTGCATCTCGTCAATCACCATCTTGTAAGACCATGCGCATGGAATTAACAAATTACAACTTGATTTCTTGTGGAATCTTGCGCCATGTTGCTGTTTTGATCACGTGCCCACCTCATTCGTACCAATACGTCTGACTAGCCAATTTGAAAGTTTTTTCTAGGGACCTCATAAATGTGGTTAAAAATTGATGTTCTCAGAAAAAACCAAAACACGGCATAATCTGCCAAAATGCAAACGTTTACGTGTTGTTATATGCCGCTCCTACCGGATGCCTTAATCAATGAAGTAGGAAAAAGTGTCAGTAGGCCTATTTTTCGACGCAGAAATTTTTCTGAAAGTCAGAAGAAAATTCAAATCTTTGTTGAAGTATTACGTCATAATAAACACAAGAAGAGAACAGAATAGAAATATAAATGTTCATTTTGTAGCACAATCTCAACTCAGCCATTTCATCAGTTTCTATTTATATTTCTTCACTCCTGATCCAAATCATAAATTCACGTCAATCGTAAGACTCACGTCTATTCTAAAACATACAGTGTGAAACTTTTTTATTTGTTTTGTTTTCCAAAAAACTAAAATAGGCAAAAAAATTTAATTTTTGATGAAGCTTGAGTTTTGCATTATTCGTAAATTATTCTTTAACACAAGCGATTTTTGGCCTTGATATTCTTATTGACTATATTGTTATTAAAAAGTGTGTACAACAGTACAAGATCACCACAAAGATTAGGCACAGATTCGTAATGCACTTCTACTTGTGCATCTACTAATTGCACCTAATTTCGAAATTTATACAGCTTAACTTATTGTAGCTTTAATTTGGCTACAATCTTATCATTTTGGTCAAGAACATTTATAGTTCACAAAACAGCATGAGTAGAAAAAGGCCTCTACGGAGTCACAAATGTGGTCATTTTCTCCCGACAATAAAGCAAGCTTTGAAGATCTTTTTGGCGAGCAAAATCCGGGTTCGGGTAACCATCGCATGCTCTAAACTCTTCGTTTCTTATTTTCTTTTTCTCGGCAGTCTACAGGATTCCTATGGCAAAATGATTTGCTATGAAACTTATAAAAAACTGGTAAAAAGGGTTCAAATATTTACTATCACTAGAAAAAATATTTTAAAGCTCGATACTCGTAAAGATTCAAAACTGTGAAGATGAGAAAAATTTTTCATCTTTGCCTGAATATTTTTTATGTCATTTTTGGTTCATTTTTTATTTGTGAATATTTTAATCTCTGTTTACATTGTAACTTATTTTTGTTCTTATTTTCAGTGCAGGAAAATGTGAACTTTACACTGGAGACACGTGCAAGCAATACCTCGGAGGAAAACATGTTTTTATAAAGGATCTCTCAAGCCAAGCCTCGCTAGAAGCAAGAACAAAAAACTGGTTGGAAACAGGTATTTATCTACTGTGTTACAGTTTTTTTTTAATTGAATTCAATTAAATCGAATTCAAATGAAGGAACGAAACAAAGTCATTTAGTAGGGTATGTAGTAGGGTATGCAAGTTGGGAATTAGGCGATCTGGACCCCCACTTTCTCTAGAATGGTCCTCCTGATGGTCCACAATTGCTAATGAATTGACAGGGAGGGGAGAAGGCGGCTACATTACATTTTCCAAACATTTGAACAAATTTGTTTTGCAATGAAAATTTGTTCGTAATAGAAAGGATAATGATGGATCCGTATTCAATTGCATCCCAGCATCCCTTGCAAGTCCACCAATCAAAGTTTGTAACAGGGTCCTCTCATGAAAAGAAATGGTCCGGTATTCTTTCTTCCATCCTGTTATTCCAACAACCCATGTTTTATAGTTGTTTCTTTCTATAATGCGTCGACTTGTGAAATCCTTCGCAAACTGGCATATGATCGATTAAATTTGCGCCATGCTGCTCGATGAAAGACATCTAAATTTTATTACCTCAATAAACGTGTTTGTATGTCATCATGTGTTTACGCAGTTGAAGTAAGAATAAATTTCGCAGTTTGGTTGGAGCGCCTTTTGAAGGTTTCTTGATCAGTTGAGAGAAACCCAACTAATTTTATTTTACCTCCTTTAATAACACCCTTGGCTTGGCGAATCTTAATTCTAGCAACACAGGAATGAAGCTATGTAATTGCCAAGGCCCACCACATTTCCTGCCCAAGAAATTATCGATACAGGCAGTTTTTGCGTAAGAAATTGAGCAATAAGACGTCTTTAGAAGTGTTGCAAGCCATAAGTTAAGAACAGTCCAGCCTCAGATTCTCGAAAAAACTAAGAACAGCCAGCCTGAGCTTCAATTTACTGGTTCTTATAGAAATAGAGTGTATTCAAAATTACAGTTAATTGCAGCCCAGCCTGTTTTCAATTTGTTTTTAACTTTTAACTAGTTCTGAGGCTCATGTTCCTATAAAGTTGTTCTTATAAAAATCAAGAATTTAGCCCCTGTGTATGACAAAAATCGCACCAGAAACATCTTAATCTTGCAAATTATCGTACTTAACTATATATAATCTTTTCAAATAGTAGAAAATGCTTCCTAAAGCGACGATTAGATGCAGCAAAAACCTTAGCCTCATCATTTCTGTTTCTTATTCCTTTCAAACTTTCCAATGTAAAGGAGAACTGAATTATTGTACCAATTTTGTGGTGTTAACACAAGAGCGGAACTAAAATGGATCTACACCCGTTTGGATCCCTACAAGAAAGTGACCTTTTTCCTGTTTTGTAGACAAAGGAAATTGACATACAAATTTCAATGGTAGCCTTCTTTGATATCTTGAAGAAAAAGAACTTTGGCGCGTCTCCGAGTATGAGCAGTAGACGTGAGTCATTCGCGTGCGCCATTTTGGGAGTCACCAATAAACAACACACCAGTTCATTTGAATTGATGGCAGTTTACAGGAATCCAGACAATCCAGACTTCGGATGACGATTTTCTCATTATCAATTTGATCTTCTTAGAAATTCCCATTTGTTAATTGGATTAATTATTTTCTTGTAGATAATCTCAAAATCTGGGCTGTCTGTAGGCATGTAATAATTCAGACTTTTTGAATAAAATCAGACTGAATTCGTAGTCCACTTAAGTTTTTCAGTCTATCTTATAGTACTATTAAGAGCTTAATGTATTTCTGCCACCCATTTTGAACTAATGCTCTACCACATAAAACAAAAAGGTTATAAGCAATCGTGCAGCTTGTCTTCGTCCCTTGTCCCACTTTAAGTCAGAAGGCGAATCGCGCCGCCAGCACCAAATTGCCTAAGCATTTTAGATATTCGTGGTATGAGAAGAACCATATCTTGATAGTCTTCCATGCTTGTTCTCGTCTGCGTTATGCGTTTTAATATTTTGGTCATGGGTTTACAGCGAAAAGTGTTTCTGATGCTAGAGGATTTTCCCCTATTCGGTTTTTGCCAAAACTTGCTAAAAGACAAAGCACTGGGCAAGCTCTTTTCATGTCACATTATGAATGTAATCAAAGAGAACAAAAGATCTAAAAATGGGAGCCACGTTCTAGAATAGAAGCAAGTTTTATAGCCCTATAAAAAGGGACACGCCGAGCAGTGTGACCAGATCTCAATTTTCGAATTATGCCAAATTTGTCATAAAATAAAGCTAGATTTGCAAAAATTATGCTAAATTTCAAATCAAGGCACCCCTGCTTGTAAAAGAGGATAGAGGATGCTCAGAATATCAAAAGTGACCAAAGTTTCCATTTGGCCTTTTTGACCCCCAATCTAAAACACAGTGTACTCAAAATTGCCATCTTTTCTACACAAAAAGGCAATTTAGATCAATGGTTTTGACATCCAAATTTCTTAACCCATTGGCCGTCATAAATTGATTTGGCCGAAGAAGCAAAAGTTGGCAGAATTCTGGCAGCATGTTGCAAAAAATCACAAAAAATGCAAAGGAAAATAAATTTTTTACATAGATGATATTCAAATTTGTTTTAGAATGATTTCGAAATTGCAAATAAAGAGACATGAAACAACGTAAAAGATAACAGACAATGTAAGATAAAAGTAAATTAAAGCTTTGTAACCTACAAAGCAAATTTTGATTACACTATCACTCCCCGCAATTGTCAAAAATTTAGCTTTTTTGTGTACTGAATTTAGCTGGCTGAATTTGGTTGCCAACCATTAAATATTTGGCTGCCAACCGTTCCAAACACCTGGCTAAACCCTGAAAGTGGAAAGTCACACATTATTGAAGTAAATGATTTTAGCACCTTCCCCCCATAATATCGCTCCTCTTATACCATTATGAGTGAATTTAGCTGGCTGAATTTGGTTGCCAACCATTAAATATTTGGCTGCCAACCGTTCCAAACACCTGGCTAAACCCTGAAAGTGGAAAGTCACACATTATTGAAGTAAATGATTTTAGCACCTTCCCCCCATAATATCGCTCCTTTTATACCATTATGAGTGAATTTAGCTGGCTGAATTTGGTTGCCAACCATTAAATATTTGGCTGCCAACCGTTCCAAACACCTGGCTAAACCCTGAAAGTGGAAAGTCACACATTATTGAAGTAAATGATTTTAGCACCTTCCCCCCATAATATCGCTCCTCTTATACCATTATGAGTGAATTTAGCTGGCTGAATTTGGTTGCCAACCATTAAATATTTGGCTGCCAACCGTTCCAAACACCTGGCTAAACCCTGAAAGTGGAAAGTCACACATTATTGAAGTAAATGATTTTAGCACCTTCCCCCAAAATATCGCTCCTCTTATACCATTATGAGTGAGAATCAAATTTGCCAGTTTTTAAGCGCCTCAATAATACATGAATGTTTACAAGCTTTCATTCGTAAATTGTTCCAAGATGTGTCTAACCTTCAATTGAAAGCCAGTAGTGACAAAAAACCGGCCAAATTGAAAACCAAGAAAAGCAAAATATCAGTAAGAATGTTGAATTATTGAAACTGCTTGACCATAATCATTATTTTCCTCTTTACCAGCACAATCCATCATAAGAATTTCTGACAAATGCTGGCCGCATGCAAAAATCTTGATTTGTTATCACATATTTCCAATTTGTGATGAAACAAAGCTGTCCCCTCTGAATAAAAGATTCTGTCAAGACGAATGCAAGTTCCTGGAACAACAAGTTTGCCGGGAGGAATTTGTGATAGCGAAAAGCATAAATGCCATCAAGCAGTTTGTCCCATCATGCTGGGCGCTTCCAAGAACTGGTACTCCAGCTCATGCAAATTGTCAAAAGTTACCATCCTTGGGTGAGTCAATGCTTCATAGTTTTAAACATGCTTGAAAACGTCAAATTTGTCAGTTTTTTTGTCTCTCTTTTAGTCAAGCAAGTATAACAGCTAAGCTTTTATTTTCTCCAAACTTGAGTAAGTCTTGAAATGGAGAAGTAAGGTATTTGATTGTTGTTCTCTGAAGGGATGGCTTGTTAATACTTGAGCTTCTTCCATACTCTTGTAAGTGTATCAGAATTCACGCCCCTAAGTTCTAACACTCTGTTTGACCGCCTCCTTGCGTTACTTTTGTCTATTCAATTCTGACCTAGAAGAATGAATATCCCTTTTAATCATGGGGTATCGTATCTGGATAGTGGTTAGCCTAATGTCACACTTACGATCCTCAAAAGTGAGCTGCACGACCCACTCTTAAAAAACCTTTTTATTCAAAGTCATTCGATTGATTCGATTTCATAAGCAAAATCTATAAAATGTCTCATTGTCACTGGAGTTTAATAATGTTTGCTTTCTGCCATTATAATCGTTAGTATTTGGGACTCTGCAAAGATACAAGGCTACTCTTCAATAACAGAGCCTAACTTAGCAACCTAACAGGCGGCCTAAAATCCTACCAGGGGATTCTGTCTCTCCATGGCAGCACCGGCCATTCTGCATGGCCGTATACTATCATGACAAGTTAGAACAGATATTCAGTCTAAATATTAAAATAAGGTTTCAACTAGCTTTCAATCCTTCATTTCATGCTAGTTTTCGGCACGTATGCTCATTTTTGCGATCCTTTCATAATAGCAATCCTTTTATAAGAATATCCAGCCGATAATGCATTCATTTTCCATATTGACAGTCCGTGAACTCGCTGTGGAATATTCGAGAAATCTGACTGCCACAAACAAAGATCGAGTAGCACTCAAGTGCCATTTTAAGGCCTACAACTTTGAAAGAAAGTCTGACTTAAAAGTCTATTGGGTGAGGAATGGTACCAAGTTGAATATGAACATACGGAAATTCAGATTGAAGCGGAGGAGCAGAGGCCGCTATCAGTAAGTTTATTCGATTGCAATGTTGTTTGGTTCAGTTTGATTTTAAAATCCCACTTCTTAAAAAGATCTGTCTAAAGCTAGCATACAATTAGTTAGAGTGTTAACACCAACTGGGTTTAAAATATTAATGAAAAATCATATTTGCAATTTTATAGAGAAGTTGTCTTTAGAATTTCAATTTTATAGATAAGTTGTCTTTTATAGAGAAGTTATAGAGAATTCAATAACAAAAATTGCAGGTTTTTAGGAATATTATTTTCGAAACTTTTTAAGCCGGTGTTTTCATAGTCCACAGAAATCTCAGAGAATTTTTTTAAGCTGGTATTTACAGCTGTGAACTAGGGGAATGTTTCCCATCGAAATAGTTGTTTTTAGGATCGCCAATGCATAACATAACTTTAAAAATAAAAAGCATACGCAATCAAAGGAATTTGAACTTTCTTTTTTACTGACAGAGTGTTAAGACAAAAACTTCAATTCCATTATTAAGAAACTTATGTGCAAAGGAAACAAAGAAGGTTTTGAGTAAGGCAAATAAAGCAAATTTTCATCCGAGGGAAAGTTGAGGAGTTTCCGAGCTTTGGGCGCTTTCGTCCAAAACTCCCTTAGATTTAGAGGAATTTTTTGACAAGGCTTGAAGGCGTATTTTTCTTTCAATTTCCAATATATTTTCCATTCTATGAATGTACCGTTTTTACTCTAAAGTGTAGATCTCATACTTGTTAATAATTATAATATGAAACAGCAAGAATGCTTTTGCTTTGCAAGTATTTAAAATAACGGAACTTTCACCTGGTGTAGACAGCATCATAACAAAACTCTTGGTTAGCAGAGAAATTTACATGCTAAAAATGCCATAAAATATAGCATAGTTTGAGAGGGTAGTTGACGCCTCTGAACAAGCAAAATATGTAAGGTGATCCAAGAAACGTTTTATTTTTATTTGGCTTTTATCAACACGAATGCAAGCAACTTTATTTGACTGAATCAAACCATATTGTCGTGAATGCTAAGTTTATATCATATAAGCAACATCGGTTTGGTTAAGAAATAGGATTCCGGTTTAGTGTTTTTCAGTTTTTTCATGGTCTGGAAGGCCCCTATCTGAGTGGAAAAGCCATTTGTGTAATCTATCTGTAATTCAGCGTCATTTATCGTGGTCTTGAAAGGTCGTGGAGCTATCAAGTTATAAAGGGTGATAGTGGGTTGGCTTGTTTCTTTAACCAAAGCCACATTTATCAATTTTCTGTGATAAGAGCCACTCCTTCAACGTTCTCCACAGTGTTTATTGGCGAGCACAAAACCACATAACACGAAATCGATGAATGATTTATTATGCAGAGACCAAAAAACCAACTAAATTGTTTTCTGTGCAGCCAAGAGACGCGTTTTTGATCGATAGATTTCAGAATAAACTCAAAATCTGGTCTGGAATAGGCTTTACGAGACAGAACAATTTCAAGGTTTCGCGGGCTATCATGTTTGGTTAATCAAATTACATTTATAACATTTAAGGAGATTAAGTTAGACTGGAAACAAAATTGGATGAAATTAATGAAAAAGAAAGCATCGGTAATTTTCTTGAATGAGTTGATAGGAAAGAGGCCAAAATGACCACACATATTGAGGCCCGTGATAAAAGTGATGGACCTATGTGTTGTTATACAACTGTAAACTGTATAGATCTATATATACATATATCATTTCATCCCCATAAAATTGTAAATTATCGAAATGCACCCAGACATTTGGCAAAACGTGACAAAATTTTTCACTAAACTTCACTTAACTTTTTTGAACTGCGAGCTGTCTATAACGCTGTTGGGTTGTGGGGGATCTTGCATAGGAATTTGCTTTTGGTTTATTTTGTTGCATGCACAAGCAGTGGATAAGAATAAGAATCGGATGAAGCGACGGGGAAAGAAAAGACTTTTTAACTCATTGACAACAAAATTGACTGTTGAAGAAGACACAGGGGTGTACAACGAGATATGCAGATGTCTCATAAAGGCTTTTTGGGTCACATAGAGACAGAAAAACCAACGAAAACAGACGAAAACCTTTGGATTTCCACAGCTAGAGCGCCTGCGTGATCACAACAAATGCTTAATTGGTGGCAAAACGGCTAAACATTTGCGAAACAGCACTAAACAACGCTAAACCAACCAACAACACTCAATACGACTAAACAACACTAAACAGGGTGGCAACACGACTAAACTTTTCACTAAACCTTTGGATAAACAAAAGTTAAGTGAAATGTTTAGTGAAAGGTTTGATCGTTTAGCCAGGGCTAAGAGTTAGGTAACTTTAACTTAAGGTAACTTTAGTTCGTTACGCTAGTATTGTGTATTTTTGCGTGTGGAAATGTGACCTGGTAATAAAATTTACATTTAGAAACAAAAAGAATGTTTGAAACAAAACAAAAAAGAATGTTTGAAACAAAACAAAAAAGAATGTTTGAAACAAAACAAATAAGAATGTTTGAAACAAAACAAAAAAGAATGTTTGAAACAAAACAAATGTTTTAAAGTCCAATTCACAACGTGAAGGACATAATGGCACTCCAAATCTCAACGAGCAACATTTCGTGACCCTATAATTTTTTAAAATCTCCATCAAATTTTTTCTGCCTCTCTTTCTTGATCCCTCTTTTCTGCTACCCTGCATGCGAAACGAGAGCCCTGATGGACGCGGGTATTTTCTTACATACTTGTTCAGTTTTAGTTTTTCTTTTACAACAGTATAGATTGTTTGTAGTTTTTAAATTCAAGTCAAACTCTTAATATGTTAGCTTACTCTTCATGACATCCATAAACATTCTAACTCACTCACTTTTTTCAAATGCAAGTTGATTTCAACGAAATATTCATTTTAGGTTCGTGTCAACATTGATAATAAAGTATGTGACATTTGCCGACGCTGGGAAGTACGATTGCGTTGCTGCTCAAGGAAAACTTTTTGCCAAGAGCAGTGTTTTTCTCTCTGTTTTAAAACGTGAGTATTGCAAACAATGCTGCCAGCAGCTGGCTTTTTTCGGAGTAGAAATGTAACAGAATTCCGCTATCTAGCACCATCTTGCTACTCAAAAAAGAGGATTACGCTGGTCCGACGTTTACAACCTTTTCCCTTAAACGAGCCAGAGTAAAACTTTTGCCCTGTTTCCTCTAGCCCGGTTTCCCCTAGCCCTGTTTCCTCTAGCCTAATTCGGTTTCTTCTGGTCTTCTAGTCACCGCTATCTAGCCTTCTAGTTCGGTTTTTTTCTCACTTTTGCCCACACCCGGTATCTTTACAGCTACCATCATCCTAGAGATACATGCCCCAGCGATTCATTTTATCTCGGCTGTTGCAGATACATCTGCTGTCGGAAGCGATGTTGAGCCCCCCCCTCCCCCCCCCCGCAATAATTGTGAAACAGTAGTATGTTTGGTTTTCGGGAAAAGTTTCGTCGCTGCAGAGTGACACTTATAGCGAGATTCGTATAAAAATGAGTGTATCCTCACGGATACTGGCTATAAGGAACGAGTTCTGGACAGTCAGAAAAAAATTAAGAAACTTCAGTACTCGAAATTAAAAAACAAAAAGATTAAGAAACTACTAAATCTTGTTAAAACTGAGAACAACAAAATTTTGTAAAATCCAAGAAAATGATTGCCATGTTGGCCTAGAACTTAAGGCACAAGGGATAACAATATACTTCCCACATCTAAGTACAGTTTCAGAACAGAAGCGAATCTCTTGGCGTGATAAAAAAGGTCACGAACATTTCATAACATCATTCATGACATCATAATTAAGAAACTCTTAAGAAAATACGAGAATTGAAATTTCTAGCCCCGTTCATATTGCTCCGGATTCCAATGAAAACGGATAAAAAGTATCCGTTTTCACCTTGCGTTCACACTGCTCCGCTGTGAAAACTGAGACTTTGAAAACGGAGACTTTTGAAAACGCACTTTGAAATCGGAGACTTTTGAAAACGGAGACTTTCGAAAACGCAAAACGCAGTGTGAACACCGAAAACGGATACTTTTGAAAACGACAACAACAACAACACAGCAAGATGCGTAGACCGCGCCAATTTGAACAGCTTTTCTTAACATGGCTGATTCACTCGAAGTTAGTACACTACTTGGAGGAATATATCCAGAGCGGAGCAATGGGAACGCTTCATCGTTTTCACGCCGTTATCAAATGTATCCGGAGCAGTGTGAACAGGTCAAGCTGATCGATATAAAAACGGAGAAAAACGAATACGGAGCAATGTGAACATAGCTTAAGAAACTGGAGTACTCAACAGACCTGTGTTTCTTATAAAAAAGATGAGTGTATATCTAGATGTTATCTTCCCTAAAAGTTTCTTCTTGCTCGTTTTTGGAAAAGATCCGGAAGCAGAATTAGTAGCTTTGTCTAATCACTAATGTCCGATCTTCTATTCAGCAGTTGAGCAGTGCAGACATTTGTTGATAATTTATATAGAATAAGGAAACAGCAAGCAGCTGAAGAGGATGAAATTTCTTACTTAGCTCACACGAAAGGCGTTTTTGACCTTCAATCTTGTTTCTGATCAAATCAGACAATTTTTGCCTATAGAATTATGTCGTAAATCGGCCTAAAACCTGGAAACTATTCAAGGTTATTGTTTGAATAGAGACAGCCCTGCTCCTCTTAATAAGATTAAATCAAACATGGAACAAGATTTTCTCTTTCTAGACATTACTTACTCAAGGTAAAATCTGTTTAACGAGCGTTGGAAAGCCAGAAAACATTTCTGACGCAAAGTTTTGAATAACGGTCCCTGTATAATGTTTGATTTCAATTCAAACATGGCGTCATTGGGGCTGTTTCCTCGTTACATCCCGATTCGTTTATAAACTAAAACGGATTCAATTTACAAAGTATAGTGGATAACAAATGAAAGCAAGTCAAAAATTTGCGAATGTGCCACTTCCGAATGTATTCTGGTTAATCGTTTCTCAGGAAATATTACTTTAGATTCTATAAGAAAACGTTTTTGCACCTGTTTTGTAAGTTAAGGATAGACCATAACTATGGATAGATACAATAAAGGGCTTTATTATCTAGAATTTCTTTAACCAAAAGCGAATCTTGAGCTGAATGTATTGTCAGAACAATTTTGAAAAAATTTGGCAGGATCTTAAGGATCTAGATGTTGAATTCAGTAAATTTACAACCACCATTGAATGCTGAAAATTATTTTGAAAAAGTTATGTTTTCATGGAAATAAGACAGGTCTTAAGAATCGAAGGAAAAAACGCCCTTCCTTGATCGCAACCCATTTTCGTGAGATACGCGCAATTTGTTTTATAAGGAACCGTTTACATGAAACGAAGTCCTAAGATGACCAACAATTAAGAAGTTTCTTGAAAATGCATCATTTTAAAAACTAGATGGAAATAACTCTTTTTGGCGATTTCGTTGATCTCCTATTTAATTCACGTGGAAACTAAAAAGGAAGATCTCCTTTTACTGATTGAGTGTTGCAACTAAAGAAACATTTAACAAATTTTAGCACTAAATTGAACAAGACTATTAGGAAAGTGGATACTATTCCTGAGCTTGGTTTCTTATACAAAATGCGTGTAGTGTGAAAAAAATAAGATTTCGTGAAAGTAGCAACTACAGTATCTAAATCTTCCCTTTTTTGACTTTGCACTTTAATATTTTCTCCAACTTTTGTTTCAAATCAATCATTTACTTGTGATAGGAGATCCCCTTACTGATGATAAAGAAACTGAAGAGAAAGTGAAGAAGGTTCCTAACAAATATGGGTAAGTTTTCCGTTGTTTTTGTTGTAAATTAAACGCTATTCAAATGAATAGTTATTTACCGTCTTTTTTTTCTATTACAAACTTTCTGTTTCCTTTATTGAGGACGGGTTTTATATAACAATTCATTCTTAACAATGATTATCTAACTAGATTTTCGATCTTCTATTGTGGCAACGTTTTGACGATGTTGTGGCGACGTTATGGCGATGTTTTAATGAGTAGACTGCATAAAGTCCTGTTCTGAAAAGTTTTATACTGTCTCTTTCCATTAATTTAATATTTTTTCCAACATGCGATCATTATTTCTCAGAAAAGGGTTCACTCACTTATTTCTACGATAAAGAATAGTTAATTCCATGGATGGCACTAGCGTTATGCTGGTGGCTGTATGCTCTGTCAGAACATGCTAGCCCTTCTCTCCATCGGAAGATTTGAAGTTTAACGCCCTTTTAAAAGGCTGAGATGAGGAAGATTTTCAACGTTTTTTCGTATTCGTCAGTTTTTCTCTTCGGAAAATTTCTGCTGTTGCTCATAATAATTCTTAAATACATTGCCTTAGAGAAGCACAGGGAATAGCGCAGGGGTGGACACAGAACCAATTTAAAAGGACTGTCGTGTGGTTGTTTGTAGTTTGCTAAATTCCCAATTTTTGGAAAATCCTGAGTCTACCATTAGTTTTATGGGACAAGAATAGGAACAGAGCTAGTAACTTAGTAGAAAATCCTCTTGCGTTCATGTTGGAAATTTTGTGAATTTGTTTGAGTATAGTGACATTTGGGTTTTCCCTTTTTTAGAGATGGCCTTGGAAGATGTGTCCCCTATAAAGGACAAGTCTGTGCGAAGTACATGAAGCAAAAGGGCAGCAACAATGTGTTCGAATATAGCTTTAGCCCGCAGAGCCTAGTTGAAAAGCAGTTAGTCCGTGAATTTAGAAGAATTAAAAAGAATAATCATTTTTCTGACAGGCAAGTAGAGTTTGATCGGGTTTTCAAGATGGAATAAATGGCTAGAGTAAATTTATTTGCGAATGGTGAATGGAAGGGCAAGGGGAAAGGGGGGGTAACGGTCGCAGAATTTCCAATACAGTCTAGTAATTTGTTTAATGCACTCTAGGGGTTTTCTTTATTCAGTTTGATGATTTTGGTCCAAATTTCCTGAGCCTTCGTGGCAAAGGCAAATAATTTCTCTTTTAGATTGTCGAATAGATATTGAATTAGCCTTCTTCTATGTAATACTCACTTCAAAGTTTTTGTTAATCATCTTTGATTGTAGTTGTTGTTTTTTATTCAAAAATAACGTTTGTTATTCTTGAACTTTGTAATTCACGTTGAATATTCTATTAGGTGCCTGGAGATGAGCCTTGCTATTATGTGCTTCAACGTTTTCAACACATGCAATAAGTCAGCCACTACACCTGCCTCTCGTTTATGTCATGAAGATTGTCATCTATTTGACAAGGTCTATTGCAAATATGAAGTAGAAATGGCAAGGAAACACACTAGTGCCTTCGAGTTTCTGCCCGATTGTACTCTCTTGCCACAAGAGAACAAGCTTTGCGAGCCAATGAAAGACATTGTATTTGGTGAGTAGCTTTCTGTTGGTTGGTACAAATGTATATGTACTTGAAATCTGTGATCAGCACTGGTGATTTTGATTATAAAAGTTTTAAATATTAGTTTTTGATGCGTCAGAAGGGTAATATATGCAATGAAAATGCAACATTATAGAACAGCTAAGTCTTAAACAAAAAATTAATTTCGAATCTTTAGTAAAGCCTTTCTAACCAGAGGAAGACCCTTAAAAATCTGATTGTCAATAGAAATTCCTTGTTTACTCTAGAACCTCTAGCCTTAACAACCCTAGGCAAATGCAAAACTCATATTTGTCCAAGGTACCCCATGCACCGTTTTCTCCATGCCTATATCCCGTACCTATATTCTAAATCATTGCCCTTGCTCTTCTGCTAGCACAATAATGATAATTCACTTGCCAGTCTCTGATTTCAAATTGTTAACCCTATATTTTGATTGACTCGTCCACTGTTTGCTGTCTTTGGCTAAGCCAAGAAGAAGAATAGGCTAAAAGTGCCTAATATTAAAAGTGTCTTAATAAAATACTTCTAAATTTACAGCGAGCACCCGGCTGATTTTTTTGCAAATATGTAGGCAAATATCAATGCAGATAAAACTTGAAATTTATTTCCGTGATAAACATGATAAAAATTTTAATAAAATCAAACTCTCCTTTTTGATTGATAAATTACTAATTATGGGTGTATCTGAAAATTATAAATTCCTGTATATTACTTTTGAATTCCTGACATCTATTCCTCTTTGGTTTACATGCCTGTCCTAGTTTGATATGAAATGACTCCAAAGGCGGTTATATGCCTTGGCTTTCAAAGCTGCATTTGCAGTTACTCTGGTCTTGACTCAAATTTTTATCAAATGATTAAATCTAATTCTTTTTTATTCTATGACCACCAGGCGGAAGCAAAAACGGTAAGCTTTTTTCCTTCGCAGTATCTTAAATCATTTTGACAAATGTACGATTTTGCTAACGTATAAATGTACGAACTTTTAAATTAAAGTCCTGTTATCTTTTGCAATTTATACCCACGGTTTCTGCACATTGCAAGATATTTTCCCTTGGTTTTCCCAGATCAAACTTTTATGAACTTCGCTCTTCTTTTAGGCCTTTAAAATAATTTGCAATGAAATCTAGTATCTAAAAACCTTTTCTTAAGAATTATACCATTTTCTCAGGTTTCCGACGTTCTTCTATAGGACGCCCACCCTTGAACAGCAATGATATGCTCTGCCGTTGTGCCTAACTACTTCTATTTCTGCTTCAGGTACAAAGTGTTACAAGGGTGTTGGCAAAGACTATGATGGTAAGGTCAATATTAGCAAGACAGGAAAAGCGTGTGAGCCTTGGATTAATCATTCACCCGTTTACAAGTTCACGCACAATTATTGCCGGAATTTCGGAGGGGAGAACTATGCTCCATGGTGTTTCGTTGCTGGTGGGAAAAAGGAATTCTGTGACATACTGAAGTGTGACAAATCTGCTAATGGTATTCATCATTTTATCTTATTTTAACTTTGCTTTTGAAATGAGATTTTGATATAAAATTTTGCCCATTGATTCAAAATTTAGCAAAGCTCATTTATGTCATAAGCAAGTTTTTAGAATATTTAGAGCCACAACCACTGTTGTTAATGGAGGGGCCTGTGCAACCAACCCCCCCTCACACCACCCCTCCCCCCAGTTGCTAACATAATACTCGGTCGTACCCCCTTCTCGAATACGACCCCTCCTTAGCATCGGGTTTTGGAAGACCCCCCATCCCCTTCTCAAATACGCCCCCATATTATGTTGTCAGGTATTGGAAAAAGCAGCCAATTGATTTCTTCTTCGATTCATTGTGCGTTGGCGCACCTTTGTATACTTATATTCAGTTAAAAAGCTTTTTAAACTATTTCATTTTTCATTTTTGGGTACGGACCTTATTGAAAATAAATCCGGCGTCTTAGAAAGTCCTCCTTAATAAGTTCAAGCTCTGAGAAGGCTACCTTTTAGAATAAGCTGCTCTCTCGAAAACGCCTTCCAATCTTTTAGGTACGCATACTGTTAAGAAGTTGGAAAGATACAGTAAGTCGTTTAAGTGCGAATCAATCTGTCTGTTTCCTATTGGTCAGAAACATGTTTCTACTTCTCCGACCAAACAACCGCCCAGCGTGCTGACACCATCTTTCCATGTTTTGCTACCTATACCCTGTTGTGATACCCAGACCCCTTTTCGCCAACAGATTCGTCTTCTGATTCCACTATCAGCGGATGCTACAGTGACGTTGGTGAAGACTACCGTGGTCAGATAAAAGTGTCGCAGTCCGGCAAACAGTGTTTGCAGTGGAATGTCGTTGGTTCGTATGAAGCTCGACACAGTTACTGTAGAAATTATGGAGGAAAAAGGGAGGCCCCCTGGTGCTATGTAAGCAAAGATAAAAAGGAATACTGCGACATACCCAAGTGTCGTCTCTCAGGTTTGCAACATTTTTATAAGAAAGAGTCAAAGTGATGAAGTGATGAAAAAATTTAGATTTTAGAATTTTTAGTTTTGACTAACGGGACAAAATAACATAGAAAAATACCTCTAAATAAGTTAAGTTCTGTTGCAGATTTCCTGTGGTATGGCCATAGAAAGATCCATACCAAGTTTTGACAATGGATTACTGTTGTTTTGGCCTGGTTCATTTGTTGTAGAACCAGTGCAAAATGAAAGTTGCTTGATGATAAAAGAACCCCTGTTCATGTGGCCATATCTCAGCCAATTGGAACACAATTAACTGATTTTGCATATTTAGGGGTATTTCATTGCGCTCTTTCAGGTTTTCAAAATTCTTAATTTATCAAACAGCTTTGTTTTTTGTAAGGTACATGGTTCAGTGTTACCAATGATCTCAGTTTCTGTTGAACTATAGACTTTAAGCTAGAAATTTAAATTTGGCAAACATGGTATTTTCGTAGTATTGCCATCTTATTCTATAGAAAATCATCAGAGATTGCTGATGATTTTCAATGAGCTCTTGCTTTGATTTATGAAGAAATGAAGAAGAAAGCTTTAAGGAATTCAAATCATAACAAACTTCCTTCGACTACAGCATGTGCTCGTTACAACTCAAGCTTGGCATTCTTTGAACTGATATGGGGCTCTTCATGACAGTTATTCAGTTGTTCAGCAGTCAGTTGCTTTATCCCTATATCAAGCTTCCTTTTTCTATATTGCAGCAAAGATCGCAAGTGGCAGTTCTCCATCTCTTGTTTACTACGTTGTTCCAGTAGCAATAGTGCTCTCCGTTCTCCTGCTGGTTGTTTTGGTAATGCTGTTATACCTGAAGCAGCAAAAGAAAGGCGAATCGTCTAGTCATAGCTCTGCTCAGGTGCCAAATGGCGATGCAGTAGCAGTTACGACCGTTAAGGTCAGCAAGGACAAAATAGGTAGTCCACGTGTTCCAGGACCAATGGACAAGGTATCTCGTGGTACGATTTCTAATGCTTTGATTATAAGTTCAGAAACGTCCATCGATCCGCTAAATCTTTATTTAGGCCCGATATAAGAATTTATCTTTATCTATACCTCCACCCAGTAAGATGTTTTATGGTCCTAATAGCATAGACCTTGCAACTGCGAAAAATCCAGAAAATTTTCTAAGGTTCCATCTCGCTGTCATTTGTCAATATTTCCTGTAAATAATTCGCACTCAAGTAAAAGAGGAGCAACTAAAGAGAACTGTTATGAATCTAAACCTTTTTCCCAGAGCTTTTTAATGGAGTAAAAAGGATGAGTGCAGAATCTGGCTGCAAAGTTGGCAAAGTTAAAGTTCATAAATGCCCTTATTGTGTTCAATGCTTGATACGTCTCTTCCACATACAATTAGGTGAACAGTTAGTTGAACAGAAACTGATAGGACATAATTTAATCGAACGTTTTATGATTTTACGGGGACGAAAATGAGCGAAGGAGTATAGGCGTTTTTGCAAAGAGCAGGATGGCTCTAAGTTGCTACTCTGAATTACATTTTCAGTATCAAGTCAGAACCATTCTTCTCTACACGAAATAACTCCATCTGTGAACCATCGAGCACTCTGCAACAGACCAATTAACAACAATCTTAATGAAGAGGATATATACGTGAAATCTCACTGTTTGTTTCTATCTTATCGTTTCAGTTTATGAGTAATGACTTTTTAACTTTGTCCCTTTGTCTCCTCTCAGATCCATGAAAATTGAAAAACTTCTCTTTATTTCAGCAGGTACCGGAAGTTAACAATTGCTCTGTTAACTTCTTAGAAATGATTGGAAAAGGATTCTTCATGGAGCTATGGAAAGCAGAGCTCGTAGAGAATGACCAGAGTGTGACACCATTATTAGTAAAACGGTTAAGTGCCGATGCAACCAAAGGCTTAGTAAACGCCTTTAATCTTGAGATAAGCAACGTTAGGGGACTTGATAATCCCAATATAGCAGAACTTTTGTGTGTTTCCAAGCCTGGTGCTGTTCCTTTTCTCGGATACGGAGGTGATAGTCAGCGTGATCTCAAGACCTGCCTTATGCAGTCAAGACCAGATGCATGCTTAGAAAGTCGGTTTATGTGCGTAGATTACGATGTTCTTATTGATATGGCGGTGCAGATTTGCAGTGGTGTAGAGTATCTGCATGAGAACAGCATTGTCCATAAGGACCTCGGAACCCGCAGTTGCCTTATTGATAGCGATTGTACTGTTAAAATAGCTCACTTTGGCATCGGACTGTACCTTCATCCGGGGGACTATTATCACGATAACTACATGACACTGCCAGCCAGATGGATGTCACCAGAAGCACTTCAAACAAAGAAGTTCACAAAAAGCAACGATATATGGTCTCTTGGTGTCCTGTTCTGGGAGCTTTTCTCGTTTGCTGACAGACCTTATGGTGATGTGTCGGACAAAGAGGCCATGGCTTTAGTTTCTCAAGGACATTTGTTACAATGTCCGGATGAGTGTCCGGCGGGTTTTTATAGTCTGATGAAAGAGTGCTGGACTATGGACCCCGATGAAAGGATGAAACTGAACTTAATTATGGAAAAGCTTACTTCGTGGAATGGTACAGTTTGTTAGCTTCGTCAACATTTATCAGCAATTAGGTCTTTTTTGGTAGAAGTTAAATCATTTTTTACGTTTTGTAAACACAGACATTTTATTTGGATGCATTTTCATTACGGCATGCCAACTAAACTATTCTTTATTTTGTGACATGCCAGCATTATAACCTTTATGTTAGTCAATTGTAATGTACCTCTGCCGACAAGGTCTTATGACGCAACAGGGCTAGGCTAGACATTTTATACTGACATTAAATATACACTTCCATTTCCTCTTTTTAGAGAACATATTTTCGAAGGGTAGAGGTCATAAAACTTTATGTTGGTTTTCATATGTCATTATTTCATGATTCAGGTTGATAAATACTGTAACGATCTGTAACGACACACGACCACCAATGCCAAGAAATCTTTGTGACCTCACCCTTCAAAAAGAGCTTCAGTCCCAATTTTAAGTGTCTTTCCAGAATCGCTTTTTATCTTTTTACATAGTTAAGGAGCCATCCTTTGACAATAAAAAGCATTTAGAATCCTCATGTAGGCTCATTTTCAGCATGAAGGCAGCTACCCGCTTCCCTTGCACTGCCAAACTCATAAGCTATAAATTCAGCAGGTCGCCTCGTAGTCGACACTAGATTCATCACATGTCCCAATTGACTCTCTTCACGAACACAAGTGCCTTTTCTCCTGAGTAAAGGACCTTTCCTTTATATTTTTTGAAAAACCAGACCGAATTGTATTTGTCTTGAGAAACAAGACCGGTCGGTTGGTAGTGCGTTAGGTGAACCAACTCTGTCATTATATCTGTGCTTTTGATACTTTTTTCTAGAACAGTATGTTCCTTCATGCCGATATCTACCAATGTAGTTTTGCTGATTTCATTATTTCATTTCCCAAGTAATTTCATCTCAAGCGGAACTGGGCTACTTCTATGAGAAACTAACAAAACTTTTCCTGTCTTCAAAAATTTTTCGTTAAATTACTGGCTAATGCTATAGATTTCGCGAAAAAAATCAGCACCAATTGTGCTAAATTTGGTATTATTGCACAGAAGAGCATTGGTAATGAAGATGCTAAGAAATCATAAGTAAGACTATGAAATTAATTATAACTTGTTTCGAATTGAGTCTTATGACGGTCCAAATGAATTATTTCCAGCCCACATCTAAACGTTAGCTTCAGGGAAATATTTTATGTGTAGTTTTCGTGTTGTGAGAACTTGAAAATCCTGTAGATATTCGTGTAAATAAATGTAAAATATTATTGCTTTGATATGCAGTCCATCAGTAATTATTTAAATGAAAGTGATTGACGAAATCTAATTATGTAATTTTCTATGTTCATTTTCTTAGAAAAAATTCTGTGTACCATGACCAAAACCCACACCTCGAGCTTCAGGACGGCACCAGCCAGAAATATGATGGGCAGGCAGGGGTATAGGGGGCCTTCCCATGAATTTTATAGGTGCTACAACCCCTGCAGTGCTGGGAGCGCCCGTTATTCAAAGATTGCAGAGAAAACCGGGATAAAACAGTTTTTGTCCTCTGCTTTATTGTCAACATATCATATAATCCAGTCTGGTTCTTTGTCTGCTTTATTGTGGAGGTTTTCGAAAATTAGCACTTAGATTAATCTATGGTACTTTAAAGTTCTGTTAACCATAACACGTTCTGTACTGATTTGAAAAAGACTTTCTAGTGTCATCAGAAATTGAGCCGCAACAGAAATTATCGATTATCAGTAGCAAAGTCAAAATTATATGACATGCTACCCCCCCCCCCCCCCCATCCCATGCATTCCCCACCTTTCTCCCACCATTTCCCCATCGATTCTGAATGAAATTCAAAGTCAATCATCGAAAAGTGTCAACTTGTGGTGTCGCCCATTCTTGAACAACAAAATTTGGGCTACAGGGCTGAAAAATTCTAGCTATCCATTACTAACAATGCATCTTTCAGAAAAATTTGGGGACCATGGCCCCTGACTTTACCTTGGGACAATCAAAGTCAACCACATAGGTTGATGTAGAATAATAAAATTAAGTAATTTTAGCAGATAAGCTAGGAGTCATTCGAAACAAAGTAATGAAGCTGGGAGACATCGAAAGAAGGTAATGAAGCAGAGAGACATCCAAAGAAGGTAATGAAGCTGGGAGACAACAATAAAATGTGTTCATCTACTTCTACATCGATACTGAGCAGGACCGAGTACCGGTATAATGCTCAGAGTGCGAGAAATAATAGATTAATGGATAAAAAGTGCTAGAAGATGCCACTGATCAATGATTAGATTGAACATTTGCATGTCAAATGAGAAGCTGTAGTTTTGTCAGCGGCAAGACTGAAATAAAAAAGGGACTGAAAATTAAAGGGAACATTGAGAGGGCATTGTGGTAATGGAATGGTCAGTGGAATCTATGAATTAATGCAGGTGCAAATTAATGATAAAAGTTACATGTTAGAATAGAATAGAAAAGAAATTAAAATAGAGTTAAAGGCAACCCTTTGACCTGTCTGTGAAAACAGTGTGTCCTTGGATTAACAACGTTTATGTTCTTCAGTTCCAGGGCCTAAAATAAGAAATTTTTACAGATCCACATTTCTTCATAAAAGTTGGGCGTGGTACTTTGCTGCGAATGGCAAAATGGGCGTGGCAAAGATAGAAACTGCCACTATAGTGCAAATAGGATGTTTTATTTGGCCAAATTTTAAATGATTGAAGTATAAGAGGCTAATTCTTTACAGGATATGGATTGGGTTAATAAGAAAATTAGCAACATATAATGATATCTTAATGTGAGCAAAAAGTTATCGAAAGGAAACCCTTTGACATGGTTTGTTTGGATCTCCGTCAAATCTCCGTCAAATGTTTCGATTATTATTCTTTCATTTCTCCTTCGAAAACCAGCTTAAATCAGTCTTGTTTCCCAGACTCTAGTACTTTTGGTTTTTTTGAGCCATATCTTTGTAGCTGTTCACGGAACTCGGAACTTGCCACCTGTTACTATCCTTTTGCTTTCCTGCCCTTTTCACCCAAAAACGCCGTTTTTGTCTTTTTCATGGTGCTTTAGCTTGTTTGACCAAAGATAAATTTTTATTTTATCTAACTCGGTTTTGTATTTCTATAGTAATTGAAATAAACGGGTTTCCAGTCAGGAAGAACTGCTACTAAAGGGTTTGTTATCGTAAACTTTAAAAACATTTTGTAACCTACGATTGCAAAAAACTTAGGGAGGACTATAGCCCCTGTTATGAAATATTCCCAATTAAATGTTCCTCCCAGATACCACCGAAAGGCTTATTATCGTTAAACTGCTTTAGCCTTGAGAGCAATATTTCCAATGCTTCTCCAATTTAAAACACCTTAGTTGAATTAGTGTTGCAACTTTTTCTGAAATCTACTTTAATCTACATAAACACCCAAATACATTACGGGCAGGAAATCATAATCATAATCTCGGTCTTTAGGCTCAGTGTTTTTTTAAGTAAGTCGTAAAAGCAAACTAACTTGACATGATGTCTTGAAGTTGAAGATGTATACCGAGTCCATCTTTCTTCAAAACAGTACGACAATATCATAAAGCGTAATTTACTGAAGCTTCGAGTTTTACAGTTTGTTGATTCTTTGTTATTGTCCATTGCCTATTTTTTGTAGCAATTTACTTATAAAAAATGACTGCAATTCATAAGGCTGGGATTTGGCTTTCACTTTGCATTGAAAAAACGTTCCTAATTCTATCTCAGGCGTTTTAATTGGTATTTTATGCTGCACTTTTAAGAAAATGCGATATTTACATATCCACACCTTCTACAATTACAATTCCACAAAGTGACTCAGAACACGCTTATTTTAGGCCTTGTTCAGTTCAATTTCTTTCTGAAGCTTCCTTTTAAATATCTCTTCTTTAAGTTGCCTGTATTCGATTGGTAACATGTTCCAACACCTGATAGTTCTTGGGAAAAATGAATACAAATGTGTGTTGGTATCAGCGCCAATGTTGATAAACTGCCGCTGACTTCTTCCTTGAAGCTGTATTGGTACCATTATGTAGGATGGAATGTTAACAGCAATATTATCATTTACTGCCTTATGGAAGATACATGACCTTGCAATAGAGCGACTTTCTTGAAGGGTTGGCCATTTGAGTTCTTTTAACATATCAGAGACACTAGAGTGTCGATCAAAATCTCTCCTTACAAATCTAGCAGCTCTCCTTTGTATTGCCTTAATTTTCTTTATATGATTTGCTTGATGAGGATTCCATACTGTAGATGCATACTCTAACACTGTTATGATGGTGATTAGCAAGGCAGGGCTACCTATACAAATAAATCCTTACTCTCCGATTACTGGGTTATATCCTTCGAGACTTGCCAACAGTTAATGAGATGGTTTTATTGAAGTCTGCAACTAACAGTTATATGGAACTTAAACTTGGTACAGTTGAAAGCATTGAGAACTTTAAGGATTTTAAGAAAATGCTCTCAAAATAAGCAATATATTGGAATAATCCAAGTTGACACTCATTTGTGTGCTTTAAGTATTTTGGTTTAAATTTTTTAAACAATTATTTTTAAAAGATTTTTATTTTCCATTCTCAATCTGAATACTAATAGCTTGTCAACCTGTTTTCAATCCTTTGTCACTAAACTTACGTGTATATAAAGGTGTGTTCTTGCTTTTAAACTCTTAAAGGTATATATGGCTTCACAAATTCTTCATTTATTTCATTGAGTTGATTGGCTCCTGGATATACAGGCCAGATATACAGGCCAGATAACATACCCATTGTATATAATACATGGTTGACCATTATAAATTTTGTGAATATGAGTTTCATTGTAGCTCTTGAATACAAGTTTTATTCCTATTTGCTTAGCATTAAGAGTGCAACTTCTTTTTTCCGTTGTGGTATTTCTCTGTACTTTGTATAACTTCTTATCCTATAATGCCAGCAAAACAAACACCAGTTTAAACATAAAAATATTAATGAGAATACAAAGCTTAAACAACTTATCAAAAACATCCTTTTTAAAGGAATTCCATTTAATTTTCTATGCAGTTAAATACAACAAGCTAGATCAATATAAATCACTGTGGAAATCTGCAGCAAAAAGTCATGGTTGATCTTCACCAGAATAGTTTTTGTTCATCTGAAATGCCGAATTTTCACCCTGGACATTGATTGGCTGACACTCAATGCTTGGAATAACCCTTCTTCTGAAACGTGGTTGCAGCACTCTGAATACTGTTACAATTGCTACAATGGTTCCGATTAAAAATCCTGCAAGAACATCACTCCAATGATGTTTGTAGTCAGAAACTCTTGAGAAGCCAGTGTATAAAGCCAACAAGATCAAGACTGCTTGGATAAGAATCTTGAGAAACTTGCTTTCTTTTGGGAAATGTAGCTTTGCTTCAAGATACAACACCAGAAATACCATGATATAAGCTAATTGAGAAAACAATGAATATTTATTAAGGATAATAAAATTATATTCTAAACATATTAGTCTGGGGTAATTATAACTCAACTTATAAATATTCTATTAACCTTATACCTAGTCAGTGATACCAAAGACTTTGACTGAATGCCTTATAAACTTAAATGTTGTTGGAACAATATGTTTAATCTATCAATAATATCAATGTAAATGAATTTAAAAGGTGCTTCACTTAGGTGCTTCAATTGATGATACCTTTATTGGTGCCAATTTGCTTAATGTTCAACAGAACTTTAATTAACTATATGAATAACATTTTACATAACTAATCTTCTAACTTCATCTTATGCTTGTTATGCTCTCAGGTTGTCATTGATATATTCGAAAAATGAAGCTAAAACATAGCATTCTTATAAAGTGTGTTTTTATAAAAAGAAAAGAGTGCAGTCTAATAGCTGCATTTGTAGAAAATATAAATATTTTTTGATGATTTTAGCGGCAATGTAATTTTAAACACTAGTTCACACCAGTTTGCAGAGTATGGCATGTGCACACCGGAGATATTTTTGTATTTTTGGGTGTGGCAACTAATATGGGCGTGGCTGGGTGTGGTCCCATAGAAAATTATGTGGCTTCTATTGGAAGGACCCAGACAAGAAGAAGAAAAGGCGGGCAAAAGAAGAAGGCACGTGAGGCAGGCTCCTTCGCATTTTTAAGGTAAAATGCAAATTTAAAACTTGAACCATAACAGGGGAAAATTTAATAGCTGGTGCACACCAGCACACCAGAAATTTTTGGTGGTGCACACCTGCACACCAGGCTTTTTGCTCGTGCACACCGGAGATCTCGTCGAAAAGTGTCATACTATGCAGACCGGAGTTCACACACATCTTTCCTTTGAACACATTTTAACGTGCATTTTTTAACTGATTGCATTTTTCTTCATTATGGTCTTTCCAAACGTGTTACTAAGTGACAAAAACGATACTTCACCTCAAAAAGGGGAGGGGCAACTGAATCTAAGGAAGTCACCCACCTGAAAATGATGAATGACCGGATGGGAAAGATAACCGGGATTCTTTTGACAACCTTGCATTTGTTCCAGTGCATACATCGGCTGTAATGAAAAGGTAGTTGCCACTTGAATCTGTGCATTGTAACTTTGCCCAATCAGGATTGCAAACACTGAGGAAATGGGGTCGTAGACGGCCTAAGCTGTACTTGCCAACATCCGTAATGAAAGTATTCAATGCCGCCCCATAAATATCAACCAGTATGACCCAACCTATTGTCTTCAGCACAGGAGGTATATTTAAGAACATAGATTCCTGGCCCATCTGCAATTCTTCCGCTTCATTTTTATGTTGGCGATACCACAAGATCTCTGTTAAAACAATCACCACCAGACTTATGGCCGCCCCAACAGCAATAGCCAACGCAGTTGAAATGGTACTGTCTTTATAGGGTTTCTTAATGCTTTCATCGTTGCAGAAAAAGCCTCTCTTATATGGCTTGCCAGTAGTAGCAAAAAGGATTATTCCAGCTCCAAACAGTATTATACAAAAGATATCAACAGCGCGGCAAAGTTTACCTATCGTTGAGCTTCTCATTTTGCACGATGTGTTGCCAAAGTGAAACTAAAACGACGACTAATTAATAGTAAATAAATGGAAGCCTCGACTTCATCAAGAGGCTTTTCCTGTAGAGAGTAACATTTTTCCAAAGAGATGCTGGAGCAGGGGGCGAAGCGCCAAAAAACTGGCAAAACAAAAGCAAAATGAATAGACAAGCATTGAACTTCTTGCTCCGGCGTCACTGACCCTTTGCTATTCCTAATCTTTTCTCATACCATTATCTTAGGATTTTAAGCAGCTAACAAATTTCGATGTAGCAAATTATTGAAAACTATAATCTTAAAACCATGTTTAAACATGCCAAATTCGTATGAATGTGAACATGGAATTCTTCACACTTTCTCGTGGACATATTACGCTCTAGCCCAAAGGCTGTCCTTTATTCTTCATTTAGTTTGCCATTCTAAATGAGAAATCAATCAAGGCTGTTGTCTCATCAGGTTTCTAGCTAAGGAAGTATGATCAAATCTAAATAACACTATTATAGAAATTTGTCTTTCTAGCAGCAAATCACTACGCTGAAAATCCCACGAACCCATAAGGCCAACTATTGGTTTTCACTCCTTTTCATAAGAACACGTTATATACGAACACGACCATCTCAAAAACAGATTTTATCGGTGAATTAACTGTGCCAGGATATCATGCAAAGCTCTTATTCAGTGGTTTTAGAGACAGTTTATAATAAGTAGTTATAGCATCAATCCAAAAAAATAGAACATCGAGCCTCGTCTAGCACGCAGGCTAGCCTCGGCAGAAGTTTAACCTTTCCTCTACTTTTTTCGTTTTTCCTTAATCGACTGATGAATCCATAAGAAGCTTTTTTACCACAAACAAACGCATAATCATTCAATTAAGAAATTGATTTTGATGAGCAAGCAGGAGGAATTATAGATTGTTCGTTTAACTGCACCTGTCAATTACGAACCAACCTGGGGTATCAAGGGCGACAAAGCATGATAAAAGTCAATGCATGTCAGCTAGTTTAAAAAACACAGTCCTCATCCACCTTACACCACCCCTATCCCCACTGTAAAGACAGAAACAATTTCAATTTTAAAGAGGTGGCTAAATAATTTCTCGAAGGTCTATCAAATAATCTATTATATTATCTTCCTGTGCTTGTAATAAAATTTGAAGGATGTTAAACTCCCAATTCTTCATGTGTTTATCAGTTAAGTTGCTTATTGATAGGTGAAATGTCACGACCTTCAACTATGTCTTCGTCTGTAAATTCTTAACAGGGGTACCAGACCAGAACCTCAAGAAACATGAGATACGGTCTTTAAGACCGATGCGACGGAAGGCATTTCTGTGAACAGGTTTAAACTATATTTCTAAGATTCAATCATGTTTACCCCATACTGGAGCGATCTGCAGTCAACCATCAAGCAAATGTCGGTATTTCGCTACGTTTTGGCCCGTCTTTTTCTGAACCAAATAATCCCTGGGCTAAATAGGCATACAGTAGTAGGGATTTATTACTATTTACAAATTAATTAAAGGCTATTTATTAATCTGCGAAAACTCCAGAAGACGATCAGCTTCATCCTACAAACCTTTTCGCTAGGATTCAGAAAGTTACATGTCTAAATTCGAACAGAAATTCTATTGCCTACTATGCTTGACATCTTAGCAACAAATATTTCAATTTTTTTTAGTATTTTTGCAGATTCTTAGATTCACATAATAATGGCAATGTGCAAATTCCTTCTATCAAACCTTTAAAGTTTCAAAAATTTTCAAAATACCGATATTCTTAGTAAAGTTTTACGATTCGGGACGTGATGAAAACGGGTCCCCCACAACTCCCAAAGAAATAAAATGAGGGTAGCCTCGTGTTCGCGTACAGCCTTGGTATCGAGTTGAACTTTCCTCCAGCAATTCAGCCATCTTTGCAAAATTGTATCTCTGGCGAGATGGGTAGCGAAGAGCCAGAAGTTAAGTATGGAGTCGGTGCATATCTTACTGAAATGGACCATCATCCAGGCGACGATGCTATGTTAAAGGGTTTTCAGGTTGGCGCCCAAACAGCCTTTTTTGGTAAGGTGTTCTTTTCATGATATTATAAACAGCAATGCAACACTTTTATCTGTATCTTAATATTTGATAGTGAGACAGAATATTTTTCAATTCAAGGTAGTTTGAATATGTAATCCGTAATAATACCTTTTTGAAAATAATCACAAAGATACTCAATAAAAAGTAAAATACAATAGAGACAAATTTTACAAAGTTTTGAATTTAAGTTGTGCTTATTTTAATGGAGAGTCAGGACATTTGTCTTGCTCTGATAGCCATCCTGACACTCTTCACTAAACCCTTGAACAATCTTTTTTAGGAGTTGTTAGAGAAAGTTAACGATTGTGAAAAGAGATTCTAGTCTACTGACATATGTGTTCTTGCACCAGTGGAAGGGTGGCTACATTTTCCTGGGCTGACCATGTCAATTTTTGTGCCCTATCTACACTACCAGGACAAAAGTATTGCAACACCCAAACGAAAATGGCATCCAAAAAAATTGAAGTTTTGAAAACTAATATCTTTATGCTGAACTATTCCCATGAAGAGAGAAAATAATCAGGCTAAACCAGTAGTCAAATTCTTTGAAATTTATTGAGGATTTTGAAATACTCAGAATTACAATGTTAACCTAAGAATTCTTACAGTTATAAGAAAAAGTATCTGCAGTGGTAAAATCAAAATATCAAGAGGATAAGGAGCTAGTAGTTGTGATAAAACTTCGTGTAACTGGTCTTTTACTTCTAAAGATTTCAAAACTTTTTACAGAAAATGAAAGCAAAATAGCGAGAGATCAGGAAACAACAAATTAAGTCAATATTCCCGACTTCTTTAGCCCTGAAATTTTCCATTTCACCTTGGGTAATTTTTTGGGTACAGTTAGGCCCATATAAATTAGTAAATCATAAACTAGCGACGTGTGAGTTAATGCAGTGAACATGTCAAAATAATGCAAAACAGTTTCTTTAGTGGAATCAAATCAATGCTAGGAAAATGAGGAAGGCAGTTTTTATCATAAAAAGCAATACATCCCCCTTACATGGCCATTTTTACTCAAATTTACCTGAAAAGCTGCAAACTCTATGTCTTTCCTCGGCCATCACAAAGACCTAACCTTAAAATAAGTGAATATTTCTTCTTGCCAATAAAAATGATCTGATTTGAAATCCATAAGATTCTCTAAGGTCCAAACAAAAACTGACTTGGAGAGTTTATTGAGAATGAAACAGAATCCCAGTGCATTTCATCAACAAATTTTGTGCATCAATTCCAAAGCAATTTTCTGTACTTATCAGAGCCAGAAGCACCTCCACAAAATGTCTGTTTAATTAAAAGTTACTTGAATTGCTGATTAAAATTTTGAAAGATCAAAATAGAATATTCAAATTAACGCTTCATTGAATTTGCAATTTTATTTGCTTGCCATTGGCTGATTAAACAATAGCTTAATCAGACAACAACAAAAGTTATTGCATGATCCGCCATTAATCGCCTTCGCAGGAGTTGCAATACTTTTGTCCTGGTAGTGTATATATCATGGTTATATATAAGAACGTGTTTCTAGAAGGGAAATCAATTTTTGCAACTTGAATTCAAAATTTCTTGAATAAGTTTTGATTAAAAATGCAAGTATCATTTGACCTTCTCGATCTTGGCTCAGTAAAATATTCCAGAGTCGGCCTATTTTTGAGGAAATAGGATAGGCAAAACATAAAATACTAATCAAAAGACATTTGATGTTTCATACAGGCTGGCAGCCCCTTGAACTCGTTTGTTATATCCAGAATACCAGTTTCAGAGTGAAATAACATTGAGTGAATTTTTGTTTGGGGCTCCTCAGATTTTTGGCTAAAGGTAACCTTATTCCATTTACTATTTACGGCACTGCTTATGGGATGATTTCATCAAAATTAAATCTTTAGGGCTAAGAATAAAGTTTAGTGGCATAGGAGGACCCACCATGGTTGGGTCCAACGCGCAAGAAAATTATTGCAATCAAGCCTTCTAGAATGGCTAAAAATGCATCTCCCAGACTAAAATTTAAAAAGTTGCTATACCTCTATAAATTGCTATACAATTTGACAATTCTCAGAGAAACATAATTATTGATTTTTAGAAAAAATTTGCAGGGGAGGATTCATGTGTTGGGGAAAGAAAGAAAGGGTGACCTTTGTTTCAGAGTGCAGATTGATATAAATAACAAGAAACTATTGTATTGATGGTCAGGGTGCATTCCTTTCAATTAGGCCCAAACATCTTTGGCGTTCATTCAGGTTTTCATATCACCTCCATAAATGGAGCTAAAGAGTGTCATAGACTCTTATTTAGCGGAGGTATTTTTCAATTTTTTATAGCCTATGGAGCAAAATTAATTGGAGGCATTTATACAGTTTTTGATTGCCTATTGCAAGGAGGAGTTTAGTAGTTCTGACCAACTTAGGGTTAAATATCAAGGCGTTTAAATTAAAACTGCTGGAATGTTAGAAAAAGAAATTAAGATAAATTATGAAAAGACTGGAGAAGCACCAGATCAGCCAGAGAAGGTAGTTAAGACGAGCTGGATATCTTATTTGTTGATGACGAAGGAGAGATAAAAACTGAAAATAGATCTGTATTGGATGTATAAAAAATATTAAGTTTGTTAGTTTGCCATTCAATTGATGTAAAACGAGTTTTTTCTAGTGTTGTCAGCAAATCTAATTTCGATAACATAAAATTTTGGTTTCCAAAAAATTCTGTGGGATTAATTTTTGGTTGCCCCAACTTAATGTATTTTTTCTTCCCTTCAATTCAAAATCTACAACTTAACAAACTACTTCTGATTTCTTGTGCCCTTCCCCTCCACAATGTTCAGAGCAGGCTTCAAAGCTGCAACTAGGAAATCTACACATCATCTGTTGACCACAAAACAGGGAGCAATATATGACACAAATGTTGATTGGGTCATGGCAACCCAATGTGCTTTGATTGTAGAATATCATGTTTAATTAGATTTTTCACAGCAACTCTATGCAGCAAGTAACTGTGAAGTGTTCTACCTGTGTACGATCAATTTTGATGTTCCAAGGTAAATATTACAAGCAAACATTTTTGGTGCCCCCTTATCTCCAATTGTGCCCATATTCAGGGGGGCCATGGTCCCCATGCCACCATGCCACTGTCTTGTACTACTTTTTCTTGCCACTCATTAATTGGTTTCCTGCTTTTATCTTTCAAGGTGGTATATATGGATCAGCTGTTGCAGCCCTCTTCCCCCCTCCAGCTGGCTCTCAGCCCCTACTTTATGCTCTTAGGCTAGTTGGCATCAATGCTGCCTTTTATGGTTTGTATATTTTTGTGTGCTTTTGGCTTAAGTAGCTATTTAGTTTTTATTCTTTTGAAAGTTCTATGATTCAGGAAGAGGAATTTCTTCTAATTTAATGGTTTTCAAGCCAATGTTTTATTCCACTGGTTGCAACAAGAATGAACTTAAATACATTTTGTAATTGATTTAAATGAAAAAGTTTAAGCATAAAGTATAATTATAATGTTTTTATCTTGCAAAAAGTGTAGAATTGTTGTAGATTGATTCTAAGTATGTATGGAAAGCAATTAAGTCCTGGTATCATGAAATTTTTTTTATCCGAATAAAAGTTACAAGAACATACAAAGGTTACAAGATGATTCCGCAGGGAGCATGGAAATACATAGCAACCATGTGACTATAACATTTAATATAACAACTCAACACTAATTTATATAATCTAATTATTAAAGATTACATACTACAAATAACAATTACATAAAGTAGCAAAAAGCACATAAAACACAAGTGACCATACAGAAAGATTTAATGTAGATTTTTATTATAAAGGTTTACCAATCCATGGGGTCGCAATAGTGCTTCCACAGTGCTGAGAATATTATGAAATTTGCTGGCATGCTAGTTATCACAGACCTTTAACTCATGAAGGAGTGTGCAGCTCATGAAATGTAGACCATAAAATTTTTAATGAAGATTTTATATGTTAGCCATTTAAATATGATATGTAATCTTGTGAATATGCTTAAAGGGTGTATAGCTGTTTGAGAAAGTTTATGAGGTTTTAAGGATAAAATAATTTTTAACCGATGAACAAAAGAGTTTTTACGAAAAAACTCTCTATCAAGATACTGCACACGAAAGAATAAGAACTTAAGGAGGCATGTGTGGAGTTGTGCAAATACTATCGCAAACCTAATGTAACTTTTTTGTTACTTTAAATGCATTTACTGTCCAGTTTGTTTGTTTGTTTTGTCTGGCATGATTAATAATTATTTCTTATGTCTCATGTTTCTAATTTAATAAGAAATATACGAAGTGAATCTTTCAAAATTTGTTCTCTTCAAGGTGGAGTTGGTGCTACTTTTGCAGTGGTCACAACCTTGGCAACAAATATCAGAGATAAAGATGACTACAAAAGCTGGGCGATTGGTGGTGCTGCTGCTGGGTCACTGCTAGGTTTTCGATGTAAGTTTGCATGTTTACAACAATTCCAAACATCAATACTAGAATAAGCTTTATGCAATTATCAAATGTTTTATGTCAGCAAGATTACATTACAGATCACAGACTTTGTATCATCTCACCAACTAGAGAGCTGCTTAAATTTTGGGAGGGCTCAACAATCTAAAAGACTAGAGCAAGATGATTTATTGTTTGGTGTGAATTGCATTTTCAAAGTTGCTGGTTTTGGTAATACAGAAAAAATAATTGTTAATTTTTATCCATGCATAGTTCAAAAGTAGCATTAAGAGGATGAATGACCTCTTTGATTGGTTCCTTTCTAACCAATCAGCTACTATAAACTGCTCACATTGTTGAGCTGAGATGTATATAACACATGATTTTCTGTTTTTGTACAGACAGATCCCTGGATGCCTAGTAAATAAAAGTATGACCTTGCTTGCTCAATGATTTTACAATTTTCTATGCTATGTGTTTTGCAGCAGAGTATGTTTTCCAAAATAATAATGAACTATGGCCAAAAAACATTTATTGAAGCATTCCTAAATTTGCAAACACACTTTTCAAAATGTCATGTTTTTAACTTTCGATTAATGGATATCATTCTGGTACTCAATTCATTCGCTATTATATGATATTTTGGATGAAATACCACATGCAACGTACATATTTAATATAAACAGAATCATCATACTGTTAACAGATCATTTTGTTTGGTGCTTGTTGCAGTATAGATAGAGCTTAGTGATTGAATTAAGCATGAAATTCAAAGAAGCAAGCCAGCACTGTCCTGTACAACACACCATCTTAGACAGAACTTTGAATATGCTTATTGGTTTTTTTATTTCAAGATCGTGGTATTGCAACAGGAGGTAAATTTGCATTTGGACTAGGATTACTTGCAGCTGTTGTCAAATACACTAGTGTCTACAGAGAACCATTCCATGATCCATCTGCATTTTTCAAGACACCTAGAGAGGACTCACAAAGTTAAGTAGATGCTCTGATTAATGTGTGTATAAATTGTTTGCTTATAAGATTTTGTCGTAAAATGTTGTCTGATATGGAATTATTAAAACACTGCAAAATGACCATGATGCGTATTCCTGTTATAGATAACTCTTTGGAGAACGTAAGTGGTTTTTCCTGCTGCTGGTTCAGTAGGTTCGTAGCAGCCTCAGAAGCTCCTCTTGGCCAAGATAACCTTTTCAGTATATTTCCCTTTACAACCTGACATGATTTAACAATTCATGACATGACATGATGTGACGTGATGTGACATGATGTGACATGACATGACATGACATGACATGACATGACATGACATGACATGACATGACATGACATGACATGACATGACATGACATGACATGATTCTCCTACCCTTCAAACTGAAAATGAATTGAAAATCTTGGTCCCAAAAAATGTCTCGATAAATGGATAACGGGAAATAGCATGAAATAGCTGATCCCATGCTATTTCATGGAGGCAAAGTTATTCCACAAACATTTGGTCACGCCCCTCCAGGTATTTCAGGGGTCATATTGTATTTTTTTATTAGGGAGGTATTTTCGGTAGTAGCTGATTAAAGCAAATCCGTTCTGAAATTCCAAAGTTTCCTTTGACCATCAATCAATATGTGGACAGTTCAACAAGTAATCAAGAAACCAAAAATTTAATGTAATACTTAAATTAACAGCATTCAACACGAAACCACAAGTTTTACCCAAGAAAAAGACAGTACAAATGGTACTTAGTATTGACTCGGTAGGAACTTCGAAAGCATTCAAAGTTGGAAGGGGAACATGTAGAAAAGGCGCACTTTTTTAAGAGGTTAATTCGTAGTAAAAGGCATTTTTCTAAAAAATGGGGAGCACCCTTCATTCAGACCTGTGGAAGGTCCTAGAAAATTTTCATCAATTTCCTTTAGTGGAGGCAGAACGGAAAATTTTGGAAGTATAACTTTCTAGGGATGACCGGAATCTGCATCCAAAATAACTACAGCATACTTAATTGGCCCAATTCGAGGACTGGGGTCAAGTACCCCAGTCTAAAAATAGCACTTGGGGGCATTTTTCCGCTTGTGTCTGTTCGGCATCGTCATCAGCGCGTGAAATTACCACAGTGTACCCATTTTCATGCCGGTGTCACAGTTTGCTACCCTGTCCTGGGTACCAGACTCACTTTATATAAACTGAATCTGGTACACAGGTCGCACTGTCGATGTTGCATATGGGAAGAATTGTCATACCTCATGCTTGACTTTTCAGTTCTCTGGCACCTTGAAGGCGTGTTTGGAAACGATTTGCCCTCTAGATTTTCAATCATCTCTGATGAATGATGATTAGTGATCTACATCATAGGCCCACGATAGCTATTGTGTTAATATCAGAGGCTTAAAACGTAACGCTCTTTCACGTGGTATTTAACCTTTGGAAAAGCGCACAACTCGTAACAATGTAGTTTCATTTTTACTCTTTTTGGCTGGATGAAAACGAAAAAAGCATGGAACAGTCGATGTAATGAACACTTTCGAGGGTCTCTATCCGTGCTTTCTTCGTTAGATTTTTTATCATCTAAACAGATCTAAACAGTTCAAGAGAAGATTTTGTTCTTTTCTTTTTCACAGGGCCAATTGCAAACCACGCTTTTAATACTAAATTGTAACCCATTGAGATAAGTTTGAAATGAAATGTAATAACGATGAAAATGGGCATGCGACTAGATAGCTCTTCTGTGTTCTTTGCATATCCTACAGCTCAACCACGTAATGATTGCTGTTACCCTTAAATTGTTTCTTTGTTATCCAGTGTCCAGAAAAGTGGTCAGCCCTCCTCCGGCCAAGAAAACCTTACTATAAAACCTTCCTCAATTTTAATGGGTGTAAACTGGGCGAGGTTTGAAAATGTGTTACTCAACTGGTCTTGATCTCCTATCCTGGCAACTCTGTTTTTTTCAAAACTTTTCTAGAAATTTGTAGCTTGTTTTCAATTACTGATATTTTTAAAGACCAATGCAAAGTAAAATGCTTATGTTGATTAATAACCAAATCGTGTTATTATTCAAAAATTATGAAAAGTTACTGCCTAAATCTTCCAGAGCAAAGCAGTTTCATATTAAAAAAGGAAGTTTTGAATTTTATTTTCGATTTTTGTTCTGTTTTATGCTTGTATTTTGAAAGCCAAAGACAATAAATATTTTTCAGCTTACACAAGCTTCCAAATTTCTTGCCACCTTCCTCAATTTCTCTTTGTTTTCGCAACCTTCCCGCAGCCATTGGCGAGGGCCGTGATGTTTTCCTGACTCTGTTGTTATCTGTTTAAATTTAACAATAAAGCTTTTACTTGTATGAACAACAAACTGTAGTGTAATACGCTATCTATATAAGTTTGTTTCCGCTTTTCCCTGCTATTTTGAATTTCATTTGTCGTAAGCCGAGAATCCCTGCCTCTCGCCTGTTAACAATATTGGATAAACACTCCACTGCTGCAACTGGCCAATACGGTGCACATTTTTATATAATTTATTCTGTGAATTCATCATGAAGAAAGTGTCAACTTATGGAAACCGGTGAAAAAAAAGGATTTGGAGGTGAATATTTTTAAAGTGCATGTTACCCTAGGCTAGGTGGACTGTTGTTTATTTGCCGCGCAAAATTAAGCATATTTTTGCTCCATTTCTGCAAAATTGCGTCAAAATCGGCAGGAAACCATGTCAAAAATGTCTATCTTGTGCCAAATTATATTCAACGACAACACCCTGATGACGTCATTCTCCGATCGGCTTATGTGCCAGAGACCAGTGACCGCCGAGTCGATCGACTGTGTTAGAATGATGAAGGCCGAGGCCATAAACTGCAGGAAAGTCAACAACTTTTTGCAACTCTGAATCCACCTGCCAGACAAAAATTAATACCACTGTCCTGGAATATAATTCAGAAAACATTATACTTGTCCTTTAATAAGATCCAGAAAACTAATGGTTTGCCTAGCTTAATTTTACTGGTAATGAATTTTTTGAATTGATATAGAAAGTTAACCTCTTTCTAAATTCTAAATTTGAGCTCTAAATTCTAAATTCCAAAAAGAGAATAAAACTATGAAGTGGACAGCAATTTCGTTTGCATGGCAAATCTGACCTGTCCTTGGAAAAATATCTTCATACCTGTTTCGAAAAATAAGAGAAAAGTTATAATTCCTACCCGGAATTTTCACTCGAAAACAAGACCCTCTTGGGAGGCTATACCCCACCGGGTGCATACGTAAATTTGGCACGGACCAGTTTCGCTACCCATTGCCCATTTGCCACGACAGCTATACAAACGGAGATTGAGGAAAATTTACCGCAAGCAAAAGTAGATGTCTTAACGCGAAAGGGAAAAGAACTGTTAATAGAAAATGGTAAGGGCAATATATTTAATTTCATAGATAAATTGTTACGTTATTGATAACCTGCAATCGTTAGGGAACGTAAAAGGGCCATTATTTAAAGCTGTGTTTATGGGAACGTGTGACGGCGGCCATAGGCCCTGCACAATGCCCAAGATAGGTATTATGTTTTTGCCACTAAAAACTGGAGTGATATGTTAGATAAACAGATTGCCTTCATAGCCAGTGGCGAATTTATTAGCGACTGGTTAACGTTGGTTGTTTAAACTTTGAACAAGGTGGCAAAAAATCCCTATGTTAACTTTAATAAACATACCCTCTTTTTTATAAGAACCAGTAAATTTACGTTCAGGCTGACTGTTCTAAATTTTTTTGAAAATCTGAGGCTGGATTGTTCTTAATTTGTTTTTAAATAAATAGGTTGTAAGAAGTCCGATTGCTAGAATTTTCGCTCTAGGGAGGTGTTGAGGCCCATTTGCCAACAAAGTGATTGAGACAACCTTCATTTGTCGACATGTTTGAATATTCACCGAAAAAGCACCCACACCTTTCTTAAAAATCCTCGTGTGTAGTAAAACGTTGTTCAAAATTGCATTTAACTATATATATTTTATTTTAGTAGCTCAGCCTCAGCTTGCTCTTAATTTGTTCTTAACTCTTGACCAATTTTGAAGCCCGTGTTTCTATAAAATTGTTCTTATAAATAAAGAGTGTATAAGACTACACTCTTTTCATTAGAACAAACTTTAAAACAAAGGCGCTCTTTTTAAAAAGTAAAAAAGCCATAAAGACCTACCCAGCCTCAGACGAAAAGTCGAAGAAATAACAATGTCCCTCTAAAAATTGTTTGCCGTGTTGAAGAAACAGTAGAATCTGTTAACTGATAAACCACGCAACTAAAAATTTCGTATTATTTAGTGAACTTATGACAAAATCTATAGTAAAAGAGTGTAGAATAATCGATGTTGAAATAGGAATAAATTTAAGAACACATTTAAGCTTATTTCAATGCTCATTATTTCTTAAGAGTTTCTTAATTATGATGTCATGAATTTTATATTTGGGGTTCCTGATGAAATGTTCGTGCCCTTTTTTATCACGTCAAGAGATTCGCTTCCGTTCTGATGCTGTGTTTAGATGAGGAAGTATATTTTTATCCCTTGTGTCTTAAGTTCTAGGCCAACAGGGCAATCATGTTCTTTGATTTTAGAAAATTTTGTTGTTCTAAGTTTTTTCACGACATAATAGTTTCTTAATTTTTTTGCTTCGAGTACTGAAGCTTCTTAATTTTTTCTGACTGTCCTGTACTCGTTTCTTATAGCCAGTTTCCTATAAAAAATGAGTGTTGCTGTGAAAACTCTTGAAGGGCAAGAGACAGGTACCAATTGGATTTGGCAGAGCTTGCGCCATGTGTAAAGATATGAAAATTGGTATTTCCATTATGACCACAGTAATAATATGTCGATAAAAAGCTCTGTACTAAGGGTTTTTTAACGGAGAGTGACTTGCTTATGATTCTCACCTTAATCAGATTTTCCTTAAGTCCTAAAACTGTTTTATTTTTTTTTATTTGAAGTATTTTTTGAAGATATTTTATTATAATATACACATTGCCTGATGTTCATTAGTTGAATTTTTGAACACACCATTTAAATGAGAAACGTTAACACTTTCAATCAAGAAGGATGCTACGATTGTAAGACCTCGTTTACACTGTCCCGGGACAATTCTTTTCTGTTACGATTCGCAAGTGTTTACACTGTCGCGGTTCCAAATTGTTCCGTTTAGCCGTGCCGTTTACACTGTACCTAGTACGGCCTAAATTCAATAGTAGAACATTGTTTAAAGGAGGCTATATTTCATCAACCGAGGCAAGCAAGGCTTGGACTGGGAGACAACAAAAAATAAGTACGGAGACAAATTCGTCCAGAATCTTCGAAGTCGTCATCTTATCTTCAGAATTTTTCTTTATTCTTATGTTAAATCTCGCTGTCGAAGACGGTGGTAACCATCGTAAATGGCTGCTGAACAGATATTCAGCCCAGTGATCGCTGCCACTTGATCTAATATGGCGATAAGGAGTTTGGAAACGTAGTTTGAATTTTCTACAGCTATCTTGACAACTCCCTCGTCTAAAAAATCGTCTAAAATCAAAACCTGAAACAGCCGTACAAAAGTGACAATCTCATTGTGAACCCGTGACAGAATCGTCTCGGATTGGTGTTTACACTGTCCCGTTCAAAAACGGAACCGTGGCGGTACAAAATTCGTTCGCTTTCAAAGCAGGAACAAAACTATACCGGTTAGCAGAGCAAAATCGTCTCGGTTCCACAGTGCTAGCGTGAACGGAAGGGCGAACCGCGACAGTTTTGTCACGGTTCCAAACTTGCACGGGACAGTGTAAACAGGGTCTGAGTTACCCTGAGTAACTCGGGCTTTAACTAAAACCCCGTTTACACTACGGAAAAAAGAACAGAACTCTTTGCGACTAGAAAAGAATAGGCTTTGCGTTTACACTAGGCATCTTGGTTCCATGAGTCATAAGTGGATGCTTCTGTCACTAGTTTCTAACCACATTTCTGAGACTAAATAGTGGAGACGCTGGTACCCAGGGTAGGTTCCCTGCTAGTTTGGGAAGGGTTCCATTCTTCTTTGGTTCCGTTCCCAAAACGAACTTGTTTTCTCTAGTGTAAACGGCTTCACTGCGCGTGCTTCACATGGAAGTGCCGTTCTTTTTACTCAAGTGTAAACGGGCTCAAGTTTGGATCCGCTCATTTTTGCTTCAGTGTAAACGAGATGAAAAGAGGTATCGTGCCCAAACAAAAACGAAATCAAGGAGTTCCGTTCTTCTTTCTGTAATGTAAACGGGGTCTAAGTCGGACTTACTTTCGATTCCCATTGGATTTTCCTACCGTGTTCAGGTTAAAAAGTCGTACCCCAAGTTAGGTCGGACATTCTCTGAAATGTCCGACTTAAATGCCCGACTTAAATGCCCTTCAATATAGAATGCACTTCAATATAGAATGCCATTTGAAGCAATTTTGCTCGTCATTAAAACATCGTTTCCGCGTTTAATTAACAATGCTTATGTTGATTGTTTGTTTTGATATCAATTCTTTTTTGCCAACAATCCTCATGAATGAGTTTGTTTAATTCTGCATTTTGACCCATGGAGTTAAGTCTTTGGAAACATTAAAGATCGGGTAAGTGTTCTTCATCACAAAGTTTGCTAATTTTCCAATCCTAACTGCTAAAATTTCGATTCGGTTATTTGATGGAAGAAGGAACTTAAACGTGGAAACTAGAGTTAGGCTCACAGAAAAGAATTCACAGCTTTTTCTCTGAAGTGTTGTCTAGGATAATTACTTGTAAACATAGCCTGAGTGCAGACTCTACTGCGGAAAAAGTATTTAAAAAATTAACTACTTCACGTAGGAAATGATAAGAGTCTGCATGCAGGCTATGTAAACAAATGAAATTGTCAGTGTTTTCTTGCTCTTGCGCGGCCTAGCTCTTGAAGTTCCTTATTTTAGGACCTCTTTTTATTGAATTGTAGTACTAAATGTCCCTTAATCCAACCCTCTTAACTGTACATTTGACGCCATGAAAACTGTACATAGTACCTTAGAATTATGTATTAGTGTTGCTAGATTCTTAACTGTAGCTAGAAAAAAAAATGAAAAACAGAAGAAGACTAGTAAGATGCTTTAATTAAAAAAGAATTGAAGTTGAACTTGATTTGATCGCGTCTTTGTCAACGTACGCGTTTGAGAAGTAACACTCTGGGATAATTAGACACACCCTGTATTTATGTTACCATTTGAACACTGCCATTGACGTAACATCGTGTATTTGTATTTCCATAATGCACATTGATCAGCTTACTTCCCGTTAGATTATAGAGTTCTTAAGTGTTGACGTCACAAAAATCTATTTTTAGAATTTTTGAATTTGGATCCCATAGCCTGAAAGAACATCATGAAATACCTCCAAATTTGCAAAATCAGCCAGATGTGTAACGAATTGGCTGAGATTTGGCCGGATTTGGCCACATAGGCACTGGCTCTTCAATAGGCACATCAATTCAAACCTCGCATCAAACCTCTGTATTTTGGTCTTTGTTCATAACTTTGTAAACGTTGCAAACTTCTTTCATTAGCAATATCTCAACCAATTTGTGACATATTTGACTAATTTTGCATATTTGGAAGTATTTAACGATGATCTTTTATGTTTTGTGGTTAAAATTCAAAAATTCTAAAAGGAAGTTTTGGTGACGTCATAAGTATCATTACCATAAGTAGCCGCTATGGCAACAACAGGATGTAGAAAAATGTATATATTTAAGTTGGCAAGTTATATTCAAGAGATACTGAGAGGTACGAGCAGATACGCATAGATAGGTAGAGGTATGTGAGACGTCAAGATATGTAAAGATGCACTTGTACGAATAAAGGCAATAACGATTTGAGGATGCTAACTGCTCAGCTAAAGAGGCTTGAGAAAGCTCTTGCAGCTCGTCGATATTTTGTTGCTATTTAGATTATACAGGACAAGCAGTGCTTTTTTCTTACGTTTAATGGCTCCGGGGTAGACAAAGTACTTTGCTCTCCTGGGTATCGTCCTAGTAATGTTAAACAGTAATTTCCTGTAGGTAAAGTATTTTGTAATATGTGCTTGTAAAATTTTTAATGGATCACATATATTAAAGAATAAATGTGCCCACAGTTTTCCATTCTACAGGCGGTCGCTTTACGCAACTCTAGAGCGGTATCCAAAAGTCAACACCGCTCTCCTAAAGCGCATGAATAATCTTTCTAATGTCTCATCTCATAGCGAGATGAGCAATTTTGGAATAACTGGCATCCAATTCTAAGACAATCTATAAATGTGAATCGATTACGTTTGTCAAAAGCTGTGGCGAATGATTCTATACTTTATTTGCACGATTCTTTGTTTACTTCTCTTTTGCAGCGCGTTCAGTCTGATACCCTGAAAAAATTAGAAAAATAAAAATGGCTTATTATTGCTAGTGTTGTAATATATGTTTAGAATAAATATCGTTGCGCTTTTGTTCTTAATATTATCATGCTGTCCGTAGTCGATATTGGTTTTAAAGCACGCTTAGCTGCATATTGTTGTGTTAAAGTAATTGATTGATGGATCTATTGTTTAGCTCAGTTGGAGTTGGGAGAGGCGTGCTCAAGTTGGAGAGTAGTTGATGATCGAGTAGTTTGAAGGGAAGTTTTCAAGTTGTTTAAAGTTGTCAAGATCGTTCGTTGTCAAGAATGGAATTTATTATAATAACAACTTGTAAATAGTATATATATATATATCGTGTTTATTTCATTGTGGATTTTGCTACCATACACCGACCAGCCTTAAAAAGCACAACAATTTGGAGGTCCCACCGAGATGCGATGTTTACAAAATGCCTGGTAAGATTCCTGCAATTTCGAAGTTTAAAGGAGACAATTCTCTTAGTTTTCGACAATGGTCGTTGCAGTTTGAAGCACAACTGAAAGCGTTAGATGTAAAGAACGAAGGAACTAAATGGAGGGATTTGCTACTTTGCTGCACTGAAGCTAGTGCATTTGCGACCGTTTCAAATGCGATTTTGGCTGATGGAGAAATATCGTACGCTGATTTGAAGCATGAACTTGAAACCAAATATTGCGGTGCCGAATATAAGAGAACTTTGGAGACAAAGCTTCGTTCACTTGTTTTTAAACCAGGCGTAAATATCACAACATTTGCATTTGAAGTTAAATCAGTCGTACAAGAACTGTATGGAATTTCGGACGGTAACGTGATTGATTCGATAGCACAAAACCACGTACTATCGCAGCTGGACTCTTCGATTCAGGAGCCAGCCAAACTTCTGCAGTTAACGGGGAAATGTACACTAGAGAGCTTGCTAGAGCTTATTAATTCGAAAGCTGCAGATAATCCGTATAATATTGCAACAGCAAAAGCAAGTTTTGAGACGGCCGCGACGAGTTATTCTAGCAATGATCGCGTTGATCGTTTGGAAAAGATGGTTGAGAAATTATGTTTTCGCATGGATGAGATGTCTAAAGGTGCGGAAGGATTGAAAAAGGCGGAAGCATGCTCAAACTGTGGAGCAAACGGTCATGACAGGTCCCGCTGTTATAAGCTGAAAACATGCTACCAATGTGGTATGAAAGGACATATTTCCAAACATTGCAGAAAAAAACGTGAAAATAGGCATGCAACCAAGAATGGCAGAGTCAGTTCATCGGCGGGTCGAATGACAGAGGAAAATCAAATTAATGTTGAGAATGGTGTTGCGTTAAAACCAGTCCCTCGAATAATGTTGAAACTGAACATTGGTGGATCTGATATGGACACTTTATACGATCCCGGAAGCATGTATACGATGATCACTCGCTGCGCATATGACGAATTGAAAATCAAGCCACCTTTGGTTCCCGTAAACCGTAGCGGAATAGGCATTTCTGGTGAAACTTTCCGTTTGGATGGTGTTGCGTACTTGAATATCAAGTTTTTACGTGAAGATGGAACGTCATACATACTTGAATACCAGCCGGTACTGGTGTCATCAGCTATTTCATCTAACGTTTTGGGCATGGATACCGAGTTGAATTTTAAAGGAGCTGTCAGAGATCATTTTAATAATTTAATTACATTTGTTCCCTCGTCTGGAGATCAAGTTGTTATTAAATATTGGAAGGAGAAGAAGGACACGAATACTGCATATGTTCATGTTGCCAAGGCAACTATTATTCCTGCAGAATCTATCAAAATGGTACCATCAAAGATAATCAATTCAAAGAAGGATGTTTTAAAGGACGCTCCATGTGTATTTGAACCAATTAAAGAGAGTCGTGATGGCCTGGAACTTAGCGATGTGTTTCTGCAGAGCGCTTCAAAAGTTGTTGATTTACCAGTGTTAAATGACAGTAGCGAAGATATGTTGTTATCAAAAGGTGAAGTCCTAGGAGTTATCAACTCAGTAGAGCAAGCACAAGAAACAATATTCAGAAGCAGTGCTCCAAATGCATTAGCTGTACACAAGTCTACTTTATCAGAAGATGAACTCAGCTCTAAGTTACAACACTTAGACGAAGTAACCAGATCTACAGTAGTACGCATTCTAACAGATTACCAAAAAAATCTTACAAAGGTGCCTGTTGTCAGTCATGCTCATCATGAAATCCATCTCAAGGACAATGTACCAGTTTCACAGCCAGCTCGACGTCTTCCGTACAATCAGCGTAAAGAGATTTTATCACAAATTGTTCGTCGTTTCAGAGTACCTATCGATATTCTGTATGGTACCTTTGAGAACACTGAGTCAAATTTAAGCTTACAGTCATATAAAGATAATTTGAATTCAATGTACGATACTGCAAGAGAACACATGAATCAACGACAAGCTCGTTATGCTGCATATCATGATAAGAATGTTATTGATGATAAACTGTCTGTTGGTGATTATGTATATGTTTATTTACCACGACTTGCGAGAGTTAAGCTGATTGCTAAATGGAATGGACCATTTAAGATCATAAGAGCATCACATCCAGTCTACAGCATTGAAATTCCTTCGAATAAAGGTACATTGATTAAAACAGTTACGCGTGATAAATTGAAAAGAGCTCCGGAATCTGTCATGAACACTACTGTTCTGCATGTAGCTACAGATGATGTTACCAACTCTCAATGCTCTGATGAGATTTTTGCCGAAAGCGACAGCGAGGAAGAGCTTGATGAACCACGTTATAACTTGCGTCCAAGAAGAAATGTTGTACGTTACAATGAAGAACTAATTTCGTTCGTTACAATGATTTCGTAACATTTTATGCCTAAAGACGCTCTTTTCAAGGGGGGAGGAGTGTTGTAATATATGTTTAGAATAAATATCGTTGCGCTTTTGTTCTTAATATTATCATGCTGTCCGTAGTCGATATTGGTTTTAAAGCACGCTTAGCTGCATATTGTTGTGTTAAAGTAATTGATTGATGGATCTATTGTTTAGCTCAGTTGGAGTTGGGAGAGGCGTGCTCAAGTTGGAGAGTAGTTGATGATCGAGTAGTTTGAAGGGAAGTTTTCAAGTTGTTTAAAGTTGTCAAGATCGTTCGTTGTCAAGAATGGAATTTATTATAATAACAACTTGTAAATAGTATATATATATATATCGTGTTTATTTCATTGTGGATTTTGCTACCATACACCGACCAGCCTTAAAAAGCACAACACTAGCATGCAACGAGGTAGTTATTCAAGGAGAGGTGCAAGGCTTACTTCTGAATCAACTAGAGCATTCTTGGAGTTTGAGGTAGTCGTTTCATTTGAGTTTTGAAAGAGACGACCAGTTTAAATATCTGACTCAAAAACACAAATTTCCGCTCCGTCACTTGTGATGACAACGCAAAACTCTCAAGGAATATTCGAATATATTTGATATTTTTTGCAAATGTCTGTTTTATACCTGTAAATTTCATTTTTTGTAGTCGAAGTGTGTATACTGTTTGCCCCAAACGAAGGGTCCGGTGTATACTGACGCAAACACCGAAACGACAATTTTGTCAACGACAACTGGTAAATTTTCAACGACAACTGGTAAATTGCTCACGACAACTATGTCTGGTGAATTGCTGACGACAAATCGTAAGCAAATCGTACCGATGCGTCCAAGCGTTTCAACATCCCAAAAGACAATCACGACAGGCTATCCAGGTACGACATTTAGAAATCGTAAATAAAATAAACCAAGTATACTCTACTTTTTCAGAGCATAGGCCATAGGAAAATGTCAAAGACATGAACGTAAATATGTATAGATGTGCAAATTTAATGTCAAAGAGGAAGAATGGCGTGTTTGATTGGTTATAAACTTGCGGAAAGTTTTTTGTGTTCATGGAACAGTGGCCTTCATATTAGTTGAATATTTGATTGGTTACTTGCTTGACCAATCATTTCTCGCTAAATCTCTCATTTCTCTTTATATATAAGTTATGTTGATGTTATATAACTTTGAATGACGACTTTTAACGTGGCATTATCTACCAGAGTCCGCTTCGAGCTCGTTTATACCTGGCTAGTGCTGCCTACTCCTTACCTTTCACACCCTAGCATCGATAAAATATCTTAATCTGCCCTTTAAAAACTATCACTTCAATTAATGCTATCATTATTACAGAAATGCAAACAACATTAGGGTTGTAAGCTTTCACAATTTCCAAGGCATATCAATCGACCAAAGAGCTTTCCAGCGTTTTCTGATACTTTGCAGGGCGTTGACCGGTCCATATCTCTTGGAGCTCCACCTCCAGATCTCGGAATCTCTGTTTTGCAGTGATGAGAATTTCTGGAGATGAACTCTGCTTTCATTCAAACTTGACCAGATTGGTTCTTCCCTCGCTTGTCATGTTAATTTTCCTTTTATTTGAGCTAATATACTTAGATTTACCTAACTGATTACAGCTCAGCCAGACCCAACACCCATTGTTATCACTGTGAGCCTTGCAGTCACTGTTGTTCTACTTCTTCTTTTTGTCGCCGTACTCCTCTTCATGATGTAAGTATCTTCCTAATTTGAATACAATAATAAAATTATCGTTTTTCTCAAACACTAAATTGTCAATGTTTTAATTTCACGAATTTCTGTCCAATATTTTATTGTCAATGGATTCAAGTCAATAGAAATCGAAAATTACTATAAGAATTTTTTTTGTCGCCGTACTTGGTATTTGTCAAACAAGCTGTTGCTATTATTATGAACGCACAAAGGCTCGCAGTTATCAATGGCTCTTGAAATAGTTATGTAGCTTTAGGTTACTCATGATATCAAAACATCCCATTAAAGTTCGGTTTTTTACCTTCGTGAGGTTTTTTGTAGCATTAAGGTGCATTTTGTCTTCAGACTTATTTGCTTTTGCCATACACTTTATTGATTATTTTCGTACACTTCATTATGTTTTGGCATAGATTACATTGACTATTAACATATACATTATTTATTAAATTGGCATACATTATATCTACTACTGGCATACATTAAAATGATTTTTGGTATACACGTAATATATTATTAGCATACATGGCATTAACTATTGGCATACATTACATTGATTTTAGATACATTACATTGACTATTGAAATGCACATTATTTATTTTTGGCATACATTTATCGACTATTTGTATACATTACATACATCGATTATTGGCATACATTACACTGATTTTTGGCATACATTACAGTTGATTTAGGCATACACATAATTTATTAATGGCATTCATTATGTTGACTATAGACATTGATTTTTGGCATATTTCATTTTTGATAGTTGTATCATGTTGCCTTTAAAGGAACTGCACCTTACAACATTCTTTTGAGATTCCCAGACACCCCTCAAAGAGTAACCTTTCCTTTAGAGATAATTTCATTCCCTCTTTGTAGCAAAAGAAGAAAACGTAGCCCCCGGGACAATACCAGTGATCTCAAGATGGAAAGCCAAACAGAAACAAAAGCACATGAAGAATACGATGACGTCATTGTAACTAACAAGGCTAGTGAACATGAGAGCCCATACGAGTATGCATATGAAAAGATCGTAAAACCGAAAGTTTACTCGCCGCTTGGTCGGAAAGACTCCCCGAATATTTATGAAGACCTTCAACAGCCAACACCCTCTGCACCTTCAACATGTAAGTTGACCAAACATACAGTGCCTTGAAAAAATGGTGGTCACAAGGGCGAAGAATCGTAAAAGTGTAGAAATGCAAATGATTTTTCATCTTTTTGGTAAATATAGCAAAATTGCTTGTTCTGGAAGTTCAGAATGAGGAATTTTTAATCCATTTCACAGATGTGCCTTATTTTTGTGAATTTTATGGGTATGGCAATTGATAAATATTTTATCACGATAATATTTTAATATTTGATGAAATATTTTAAATTTCACGTCCATTCTTGGACTTACTTAAATTATTGTTTGGATCTGCCACTAGCTGATACAGTGCAGCGATATGATGTAGGGCGCATAACAGCCCGGTTCAATTCGTTACGGTAAGGTTTGGTACGGTACGGTTCGGCTCGGCACGGAAAGTGCAGAAAAGATCGAACAATTCATAGCTGAATTAATTTCTTTTTAAATATTAGTACATTTTTAACCAAAGCATTGATTAGTTTATATAAACGCGTTAACTCAGCCTTGTTTTGTAATTAGTTTTGTAGATTATTTCCAGTTTTGTTAGGTCTTGTTTATAATTATCATTGATACATTAGTAGAAACAATTAAGGACCATCTCAACCTATGGGCCTAAATTATAAAAAAACGAAGTAAATGATGTTTACCCTATAGGTACATAGAACACAGTATATGTCATGACTATACCAATACTATTGTATTTATTGATATACTATTATGCTATTGTTTTCCATGGCTTAATGTGACAACAATTCTTCCACAGCCAAAGAAGTTGAAAAGAATTCGAAAGATTATCTATATGTGTTACCCGAAGCGAAGGAAGAAGGACCAAATGTTGAACAGGAGCCGTTTGATGAAGTTAAGAAGCAAAGCCAGGTGAGGATGCAATTTCTAAGAGCTCTTGCACGGTTTTAAGTTTTCAATTTGTGAAATTTTGACCTTTGTTGTTTCGAGGTTTTTTCCCTGGAGTTGAGATGGGAAGGGTTTGGTGGTTAGAAGTTGACTCCCAGTTGCAAAATAGCAGATAGGCTTCCTTATTCTTCTTTGTTTTTCTTAAAGAAGTTGTTAACCTAAAGATTGGCTATATCTTAGATCGAAAGTTTAAATTAAACACTGGCTTTTTTATGGGCCATACATTAATGATATCGTACAAACAGTTTTTGACCCTTTTTTCTCTTTGCTGGGCATCATCAAAAACTCAATGCCACCAGACGTCTAAAATTAGCCCCCCCCCCCCAGCCTTCCTTATGCTAAGCAAAAATACTTTTAGATGTGTTAATCATCATCCTCATCGCGTTGAAAGGAAAGATTCTGCATTAATTCAAATAAATTCAGGAAAAAAGGAGAGGATTTTTGAAAACAAATTGAAAGACAAGTAGGCGCTTCACCATCTTTCTCTGCAACTCCTGTTCCCTTGTCATTCTCCCTTTTTATTCATTATAAATATTTTCCTGTATTTAGACTTTATTTTACGGGGATCACTTTCTACATGGGACGCGTAATAAGACTCTTAAGACTCCTTCTCTTAATTTCAATGATGTTCTGATGAAGGAGAGAAAGGAGTTTGCATAATTTAAAACTTTTTCAGATATGATATAGTGTGTGGTCTTTTAATAAGAAAGCTGGTCGACTACGACAAAACATCTCAAGGTTTCCCCTTCATTGTGAAAACTTCAGTCTTCAATCTCTTTAAGACTAAGGTACCTTAAACTTAGGTTACTGAAGCTTTGAATATAGTTAATTACCAAAATTAAAATCAATCTGCATATGAATCCCCATTAGCTATCTTGATCATTTGCTTTTTTAGTCTAAATTGTGACCGTTTTTTGCTACTCATTCTGAAAATGTACAGTGCTTTCCTTAATTTTAGCTATCTGTGTATTCGCAAGGCTCCTACCTCGTTCCTGTTGTGTTGAAGGGCGAGCCAGACGAAAATCAGTATGGCGCAGCATATGTCAAGGTTCTGCCTTGAGAATTGAAGTTATTCGTTAATCCTAGATATCTATCATAGCAGTGTTTCAGTTCTAACTATCATGTCTCAAAATATAAATGTATTTATTTTTCGTAAAAATAAAAAAGATTTCGTGTTTCTGTCATCCGAAACCGTTGCGGGTAGCTCCGAATCTATTTGGAAATCATCATGACAAAGAAAAAGGCTTGCTGGAATCTGACACCAAGCGAGTTAGGTTGGTTGCTGCACTGCATTTTTGTCGTAACTGATATTTCGATTCACATGGCAACTACACGCTTTCGAAAGCTAAGAAAGATCCATATTAGTACGTAGCTGCAAGACATTTTTGTAAAACATAATTTCTATCCTGCTGTTTTGCTTGAAGTGAAAAAAAACCCTAAGGAATATCGGATGCTTTTCGATTGTTACTTTGGGGTTATCTTTGATTGTTAGCAATAGCAGAGAGAGCGCAAAATACTATGACCAAGGGTGTAGAGCTAAGGGGGCTCAGAGGGGATGAGCCCCCCTCGCTAATGCCTAAAATTGGCAAATTCCAGCTTTTGCTATTGTTTTTGCAGCATTTTGTGCAAGAGCCCTCCTTGTTATTTTGATAGCACTACACCACTGACTATGACAATTGATATGGTATCTTATATTTAGTTATTTTTATCATTCTTTTATCTCTAGGCTTATTTTTGTTTCAAAATTCTTATCGTCAGAGCCATGGGTTTATTTAACATACAATAATAAAAATGATAATAATAATAAATAATTTGTTCAAAGTTGGCGTACTAAATGAACGTCTAATAGCTATAAAGAAGCTTATTAAGGCCAACTATCTATGAAGAATTGGTATAGAATAAAAATATGGTACAACGTTAAAAATGTTTAAGGTATAATATTCTAAATAAAACCTAACCCAGCAATAAATATTTTAAATAATCTACAGTCGCATTCTACAGGGTGTGCTCTTAATTCTTTTTTAAATGTTGCCAATGATTGGGACTCTCTTATACTGTGAGGTAGTGTTTGCCACAGTTTTTTACTTAAATATCTCACACTTTCTATACCAAAGGAAGTTGTCCTGGCTTCTGGAATGCAAAGATTATTTTTAGTTCGCAAATCATAATGTACATTTTTTGTTTCAACAATCTCACTCATGAAACTAGGGTTTAGGTTATGTTTGGTTTTGTATATTTATATCATCAAATACTGTAGATTGCGTTGGTGAATCGATACTGCATTATCCAATGTCAGCAATGCTTCGCAGTCAGCATGACTGACTTTATAAACAATTCTGAGTGCTCTTTCGTAAATTTCGTAAACTTTGGCATTCAGACATCTGTCATGGAACATCCAAATTAGGGGGCAGTAGCTAAACTGAGCGTTTATGAAGCTGTTCATTAAGAGACGCAGTTTATCAGAACCCATAAATGGCGATACCCTAGGAAGAGCATGCAGTTTTTGGCTGGCTCTTTTCCATAAATTTAAGACGTGACTATTGAAATTAAGATGTTTGGTCTATTATCACCCCTAGCAGTTTTTCTTCAGAGCTTTCTCCAACAATGGCCTCGCCGATTTTGATCTTAATGTCATCTTGGTTTGTTCCAAAGTAAGAAGATGACATTTCCCTGTATTCAATTTCACAAAGTTTTCTGGAAACCACTTTGATAAAACAAGAGCATCAGTTTCTAACCGTTCTAAAACTTTATCCAATTGGCAGTCAGCTGCAAAAATTGTAGTATCAACAGCAAAGTTACATACTGCAGTATCAGTTACCATTAAGAATAAATCATTAATATATCAATTAAATAGAAGAGGCCCAAGTACTGATCCTTGTGGTACACCTACAAAGGTTTCTCGCCAAGTGCTGAATGAACCATTTAATTTTACCCTTTGTTTTCTACCGAACAGGCAATTATAAATCAATAGTTGAGCATCTTTACAAAACCATAGGCATTTAATTTCGGAAGTAATAGCTCATTGTCTATGCAATCAACCCCCCCCCCCCTTACATCTAGTGGATCTCCCTATTAGGTCAAACAATATCTTCCTGTAGGAAACAATCTGCAAATCATATTTGAGCTTTAAAGGAGTTTTGATCTGTTGTTATGAATATGTTTCTCCGTTTTTTATGAATACCGGAGGGCATTATCGTTGGAATGAAACGTGGGAAAGAGAGGGCTAGCTATTTTTATGCCTCCTATTCGTGACTTTGCCAGAAATGAAATAGAAAACAATTTGGCATTTAATGGGGTGACGGAGATAAAAAGCTGCAACTGTCAACAAAATTCAAAGATATGAAGTCAAATAGAAAAGATGAAATCTTGAAAAATTGCTTCGAAAGTGGCCATTCAAAGAAGATGCCTTGAACATTGATAACACTTAACTTTCAAAAAGTGACAAGGTGCCATCACAGAATAGAAATTCTGTAGTGCTTTGAGTGTGGTGCTCGCACATAGCTGTCACTCCTCGCATACTTTCGTTGATATCTGTCACATCCCAAATTGCAGCATTTTTCATGTGAAAGCTATGTAAAAACGCCAAGGTCTTTAATGTTAAAACATGGGCCGTGAATTCATTGTTTATAACATCTAAAAGGATTCATATCACATATGCTTGGTAGAAGCCAATCTTGGTATTTCATTATATGGTATATATCCTGTGGAGAGAGAATTTATTTTCTCGTTAGTGCGCTTGCTGCTCCATTAAATCTCGCACCTGATTTTTCTGACTTATCAAAAACTTTAATAGTAATCTAAATACTGTAAGTTTAACATGAAAGGCAGTAGAGGGGGCCAGAGGGCGTTGGCTCGATAAAAAGTCGCTTTTTGGCCGTTTTAGAACACCCCTTCTCAAGTTGGGAAAGTTGTTTGTCAGCCCTGTTTACGTTCAAATTCAAATCTAAATTTAGATCAAATTTACAAATATCAAATAGTTTGTGATCTTGACTTCGCTATCTTGATATGAAATATACCTCGTTTTGGCAAAGCAGCGATTCGGTCTTCTGAAACGAGACTATTTGCTGCTGATGTTGTTTGTCTTGGTGCCTAAATAAAAATTAAAATTACCTTTAAAAAATGCAAGGGAAGTTGCAGAAAGTGCCGGATTTCGCAGGTTATGGCAGCAAAAGCAACGGGAGGAAGAATATATAGCGGCATATTTATTATAATTACATTGATTTCAGCTGCATTGCTCTGTATAGTAGCCAAAGACCTCGAGTTCCATCGTTATCATTTTCGAAAGAAATCAAATTGGGTTAGTATTTTTCTCAAGAAATTTGGCGAAGTTGTTATAACTTATTGACTCATTGTTTGATGAAATGTTTGTTCACTTGACCGGGCCTTGATCAGCCTGTATGAGTGAGAGAAACATCGATGTATCCTATTGCTTAGGGCAAATGAAGAGTCGTGTTTCTTCAAGATCTACATAAATCTTGCATTGGTTTGATAAATACAAAGCAACCATCAATTATCTCCATTTCCTTATCTTCGTTGAAATTGTGTGCACTATATACACAATTGAAGTACACACTTATTGCCAAAGACACTTGAAATTTTGCTCTTGCCCACCTGAGATCTTGTTAGAAAATGCCATACTCTGCAGTCTGGTTACAGTACCTAGGAATTTTGCTTCCTTAAAAAATCGCTTTTAGTTCCTCACAAGATTAAAATCTTGACATATAAAAGTAGTACTAGCAGAAAGTTGATTTAAATTTTGACAATACAATTCCTGCCTGATCAAATATTAGATACCATTTTTTCAATAACTTTAATTATTGGGGGTTTGATTGTTATTCAGAATGTTATATTCAAGATTAAAAGTAGACCAATGCCAAATGCAACACTAGAAAACACATGGCAAAATTTTTGGTAGCTGAGTTTATATTTTTTGCAAAATTTGGTTCCAAATCATCAAGTACCCCATTTCCCAATTGCCATAGCCAATTGAAAACTTGCTTTACTTTACTGCACAAATAAATGCTCCTTCAATCCAGTGTGCAGATTAAGGCTGCTCTTGAAGAGATACTGCACCTGCACAGTCATTCAAGCACATGCATGCAATCTTTCTTTTATTATTCATTGGTGTGCAGAAAAGGTCTTCATAATAGCCCTATAGTAAATTTGGTGTGCAATTTCAAATTTTGGTGTGCACCACTACACTGACCTTGCACCTGTGCAGGCTGGCCTTCAATCCTGTTTATTCTGGTAAGTTGTTTGATATTTTTGCAAAAATTTTCATAGGGAAGAGCTGTCAAAAGAGCTGATTATTTATGCAGGGAAGAAACCTGCCAAAGTGTAGAAGATGGACTGCAAAAAGACATCTGTATTAGAAAATGCATTTCACCACATTGTTATGAAGAGCTTTATGCATGGAATGAGGTATTTTCTTAGTGCTAGTAAAATTATTGATACTTGTATGTACCAATTATATGTAAGTACTAATTTGCTTGAGCCTTTTTGGTTAGTTTTTTTGCTTTACTTTCAGCTTCAGTAGAATAATGATGTATATCCGCATAGTTATTGAAATTTATTATGCATTGTCAATGGCATGTAATTTCAGAAGATATCTTTATGTACATGAGATCAATGCTGGTTTAAACTTTCGATCCATGCAAATGATCTGGGATCTTTTGAATTATTGTTTGCAACGCTGATCTACCACAAATATGTTATGTTTTAAAAGTCTCTTTTCTAAGAAGATATTATGTAGTAAGCAAAAAAACTCAATAACAAAATGCTATTCTAAATTTGGAAAAGCATGTGTAGAGGGTAGCCAATATGTTTTTCGGGGAAGCAGGAATTGCCATTTTTTGGAGTCAGGAATTTGTAATCGGAAAAGTTATGTGAGTGGGATTCTGGAATCGATAACCCCTGAATTTAGGGAATTGACTATCAAGAATTAGACCAAAAGGTACTGGGAATTTTGGAATTGATCAGGGTACTTATTAGGTACCAGATAAAGTTCAGGAGCAAAGCAAAACAGTGACGAGAATCCAATGTAATAAGATAAATTTCAAAATAAATTAAATAAAATGCATACTAATATTTTGCCCAGGCAGCAGGCATACAGAGCTTCATCACCCCCAGGGACACCGGAGAAAGGGGCACAGGTAGTCAACCATCCCTGTTGCCTTTTGATAGGAGGGGCCAGAGTGTCCTTTTCATTAATGTGGCCTTGAAACCTGTCAGTTGTAATAATCAGAGAGATCTGTATGATATTCTGATTGTGGTGCTAATTCATGATGACATTTCTGAAAACTTGTGAAATAATTCCTTGTTCCAAAAATTAGCCAATTTTCAAGATACCTACAGAAGAGCAAAATAAAATGGCAGTTAGTAGAAGGAATAAGTAGGAGCTGGGAGTTTTCTTTCAAATAACCTTTTACTCAAGCCTGCCCCTTTGCCCCTTGGTCGTTCTGCCATCCCTGATACGCCCTACTGCTACTGCACCAAAAGTTATGGTAGTTTTTCCCATTTTGTCAATAGACTGGCTAAGTCATTATATCATGAAAATCTATTTTTATAATAATATAGCTATATTTTAGCCCTATACCCAGTTAATCTTATCCATAGGGGTGGTTATGACTTTGACATTGGGGGGCCAAACAGTTTGTTTACCAACATATAGAAATGACTATATTAAAAATAGCGTACAGTGGTAATGCACAAGCACGTGCAAACCAACACAGTCATTGGTTAGATAGTTAAGAGGCAACATGTGCATATTATCAAACTCAGTATGATCTAAAAACGCTTTTGGGACCCCCTGCCCCCTCTTTCTAACCCCCTCGATCTAACCTGCTATGTACTAAGTTATTTTCGTACTCTTACAGCTTGAAGAGGGAGAAAGAGATATTCGATGGACTTCCTTCAAGGGATGTGCGGCTGATGAATTGAGAAGAAAAGAGCAAGCAAAGTTTGACTTGTGATCTCCTTTTTATTAGAATTTTAGACATTCGAGAAGACGGTTGTTGAAATGAAACAGCTCATTGATGGTTAGCTACAACATCAATTTTATGGTTTTGAATGAGAAGGGATTCGCCCTCTGAGTAATGAAAATATTTTCGAGATACTTCCCAGTTCAAACGTTGAGAAGAGGTGTAGAGAAAAAGCTCTTTAAAGAACAAATACAATATGACTTTTACCGTTTTATTGTTTTGGAAATTGTTAACACGGTAGTGGTAGACTTATGGAGTTGGGGCAAAGAATTGACGTCCAAACATAAGGCTTCCCTTAAGGTCAACTTTTGTTATATGCTAGAAAGGTCGTACTTAGGAATGGCAAGGTGTTTCGAATAGAAGATTGTTTTGAACTCTGCATAATGGAAGTCTTAAGATACTGAAATATGTTGATAATGAATTTTTTTTCAGCTAAAAATTGCTTTAAAAAAGCACAGTCTTTCAGCAGCTGCGACCAACCTAATACAAGGAGTGATGAATATCTCTTGAAGACCCAGCTAAGTGTTTCATAATCGCTAAACCAAAAAGTTTGTACACAGTCTCGCTTATTAAACTATAATGGGTTTGCAGCGTCCAAATCTAAAACATTGATAATTAATGTAATCCAGCTTGTTATATGTCGATGAATAATGACCAAAAATTAATACAATTAAATAACGAATTTGTATACGAATGAAAGATAAGTACAACGTTTCAAGCATAACTCTTCACTAGTTTTAATTGTGTGGGTGTCATTGTAATTTATAAATTTAATTTCCATCTTTCGTGGTTTTTCATTGTTTTTCGTAAAATCTCAATCGTGCAAAGGAAACCCATGATCTTTGGTTTTGAAGAAAAAATTCTGTAAATCTGACATTTCTTTGTACGATTGCATATATCTGAAAAACTATCCAAGAGACTGAAAGCAAACTTTCACTGATTATTTTATGATGTACGTCGATATTAAAAAAAGTTATTAAAAATATGTACAAAATTTAAAATAGTTTGCAATTGAAGAAAATAAATTTTTTTCGTGTACAAAGTCGTTATTAGGTGTATTAACTTTTGCTCAAATTTAAAACACTTTGATTAACTGTAGTAGCCTACTTCATTGAACCTGCAATATTCTTAGAAAGCTTTGATATTATGGCTTTCCTTAACACTTTTTATAGGACTTTGCCACTCAGCGATGCTCTGTATAAAAAATCAAGAATGCCTGCACCAAAATCATCGTCAGTTGTTTGGATGGTGCAACGAACGAAAGATACGTTTGATATAATGATAAATGTTTATAGAATGAATTGTATCTATGTCACACAAAAAGGTTTATAGATGAAATATCAACTGACAGAAATTAATGTTTTCTAAAATGAAGACAGCCATGTGGGCTTCCTCGTTCAGAGTTGACGATGACCAAGACTAATCTTCTGCATTTTGCTGTGACCTGAGCATCACGTAACGTATGGGTATTTTGATAAAACCTATTGCCTTTCGATGAATAGAAACGTTACTTTCAATAACACAGTTACACATTCAAATTCCCGATCAAAGTCATAGTTATGCATAAGATCCTTTCCCATTTGTCCTTAGTTTTGCACATTTGGTGGTTGTGGGAAGTCATTTTAGAGGGTTCAATAAATTACAACCAAGTTCATTTCTCTCAATAGAATTATTTATCTTCCTCTCTATGAAAATGTCAGACACAAAATCTACCATTGCGCTGTCATCGTTGACGTTTTTACAGGGACAGCGATTTGACGCGTCAAATATGATTATAAAACAACAAGAACTGACCCGAAATTTGGCAAGTCAGCAACATCAGACACAGCCAAATGAGTTTTAAGGCGTTGCTCACCTTGCTAGAACGCCACTAACATACACGAGCAGAGGTGTCTCTGACCTTGGAAATTGGCATACCGTAAAAACCAGACCTTAAGACCCTAAGACCCAGGACCCTTAAGTACTCACCTCGATAAGACAATAGTTGATCGCAGTCGACTGTCATCATCGCACCAAGAGGACATACCAACTGTCAAATGCGCTTTTGTGCCAACTATGGCGTGCCTTCAAATAAGTCAGAAAGTGACAAGGAATTTGAAGATCTTCCAAAGTCGTTTAACCTCTTGGAGTCAACAATAAAGAAAAGACATAGATCAAGATCAAGGCCTGTGTCAGAGATGAAGATGCGGGCACTTTCTTTGCACTTCCTTTAGTTGCTGCTTGTCGCTTTTGCGTGATTTTTTTGGATTCTGCCCTCCCTATTCTGAAAAAAATAGCATTATTGGCAAATCGTGGGGGGTGTAAACAGAAGTTCTCTATAAAAACGCTATTGTAAATTTGGTTTGGTATGTAATTTTAAATTTTGGCATATCTAAGAGCAAACTGTATGTAGCCGCATATAAGAAACTTGAAACTTTTTAATAAGACAATTTGGTTTCTTATACACAAGAAAGTGTTTTTAATCGACAAATGTCTTAAAGCAAACGTTAAAGCTTATTGTTTTTGGCTGAACTTTCAGGAAATCAGTAATCAAAAGTAAACTCGATGCCATTGAAAATAGACCCGAAATTAGAAAAAATAGACGAAATGATTCTGGAACTGATATCTACTAACAGAGGTCAGCTTCACAAATTCCCCGCATAAAAATAAATTCAATGAATTATTTGATAATTATTTTTCTAAAATCAAATGGCAGAGGTTTTCAGGATACCTTTTTTTTATATAAAGATTTGTGCAAAGTTTGCAGGAAAATATCGACAGTTCTGTGGACTCTAAAAGGGAACAAAAGAAAAGAAAACTAGAAGATACCCAAAAGGTTGCCGTAAACTTCCTTGTCGCTGTCTGCATTGCGCATTTGACGGTTGATATGACCTCTTGGTGCGATGATGACAGTCAACTGCGATCAACTATTGTCTTATCGGGGTGAAGACCCTTCTGGTGTTAAGGGTCCTTTTTTATTTTAGTACTTAAGGGTCCTAGGTCTCAGGGTCTGGTTTTTACGGTATGCCTTGGAAATTTGGTATTGGATTAAATTTAATAACTCCGTCAAACATAAAAGCAGAAAGTTTTGATATTCAAGAATATATTGTTATCGAATAGTGGGAATGTAATTTCTTTCATACTCTATAAGCATATCACAATAATATATTGTAAAGTTATGAAAATTTCGCAACCAGCCAGCATTTGCCACTGCTAAGTTTAAATGACATCTTTTCCTTTATCTTTATGGAGACTTTATTTACACGTAATTCTAAAGCTACTGTATAGAAAATGTAATTGAAAATACTTTCAGTGACAGTTTAGATTTGGAATGATTCTAATTGTTTTTCCCAAAGCACTGGGCAATAAGTAACTAAAATTTTGCAAAAACTGCGCTTGTTCTTGTGGTACTCTCAAGCACCGAAGAATCATCCCCGAGCTTATTAATTTATAAAAAAAATTTCCAACCCTACCAAATTTTTGTTCAAATCCCCAATTATTCTATCGTTCCTCTGTTTACTCGAGAGTAACTATTGGTGATCGCTAGCTTTTGATATGTGACCAGTAGTCCCCTTGAATTTACGCATTCATTTGTTCATTTCATAGGATGGCAGCTCTTAAGAAATGCTGATTGTCAAGGGGCCCTCCACTTAAAAGACTTACAGAAACGCTTATAAGTGTAAAAAACAAGTTACCCAATTTACAATTCAATATACACAATATAAAATCAACCTTATTTTAATCTGTATATAATTATTTTTAAAAAAAACAATGAAGGCCAAATGTGGACTGTGTTGACAGCGTCAGATAGCAGCGTGCTTTGACGTTAGCTGTGGCCGATAGACCCAAAATTGAGTTCAAATAGACAAGAATAATAACGGCATAGGTCATGTCGTTTTTGTATTATTTTACAAAAATGTAACTGTGACTTAGCTGTGAGATTCGGCTCCGTATATTCTTGAATAATTTCGACATATCTTTAAATGTACAGATGATGGATTGTCAACAACATAGATAATCAAGATCTGTATACCAAGATGAAAATCTGCAGTTGGTTTGCTTCTTTTCTGTGAGTAATTTCTTCTTAAATATTTCGGTTTCTGTACAATTTTAGCGTAGGTTCAGGCTGCAAACCAACTTATAAGAACCTACTTTTTTGAGGTTCAGGCTGAAGTAGGTTCTTATTGGGAAGGTACTTGGATGAATTTCAGGGTATGAAGGTTCTTATTGGAAGGATCCCTTGTTCAAAATTTTAGGATTCATTATCAAGAGATGCATTCAACCCTGTTTTTCTCCTTTGGCAATGTTATTGATGCAACATTACAAAGATATTTACAGGAAGACATTTGAGCGCACTGGCTGCCTATGACAGTGGATGGATCTGGAGATGATCTCAAACGTCCTCAGGAATTGAAAATTATGAATTCTAATGTTTTTTTTTATTTTCAACATTTTGGATTTTGCTATATATAATTATGTTAAAAAGTCAAAGTAATTTTAAAGTTCTCTTTCGTTAAAGTGTGTAAAATGCTTAAAATGCCCAACTGAAAAATATCTAGGAGGTATTATTCAAGCCCATCGCCAACTATTGTGCTTAATAGGGGTTTCCAAGTTCCAAATACCGACAAAATTGGTTAGCCACCCTTTAACTGCTGACAAGTTTTAAAATTTGCCGACTAAGCACTCCTAAATGGCAAAAAACTCCGCTACTATTGATGTATGTCATACAATTTTTTCATTCAAATTTTGCAATAGCCCAGGTGCTGCGTTTAAACAGAAAAATGGGGCGAAAAGCCCTCCTTATTACATGTCATTGTCTGGTACCGAACATCTCTCAGTTTTTTTTTTGTTTTTGTTACATTAGCAACAAAAAAATTTCGTCAGATAAATTTTCGGCGGATAAACTTCGTCGAATAAATTTCGGACAACCTTTTAGAATTTCGTCGTGGATTTTTTAACACAAAAACAGCAACATATTACCAAGATCTTAAGTGACAAAGCCATACAGGTTGCTTTATATTTAATTATATAGGGGTACCGAATTCGTGGAGACATGGGGGCTTTGGCACCCTTTCGGACTTTGGCTTAATCCCCCATACATCTTTTTCACACGGAACCTCATGTCAGGAAAAACCAAATTAAAGAGGTAGATGTCCTAAGTTAATGCAAGGGTGAAGTCAAAAGTGATGCTTTTAAAGAGTCTCTACTCTATATCTCCAAGGCATATAATTTTATAAACAGAGTATAATTAAAGTTATTAGTGTGAATATAAGTATAAGATTCGGAAAGATCTCCAAAAGAAACAGTTGGTCTCGAAATAATTCTTCCTGTAGAGTTCAAAATTTGGGTGAAAAATGCAAATACCTTGAACGAATGATAGAAATAGTACAGTTGAGTTAAAAAAGACAGAGGTGGAATCCATTAAAACCGGCGACGAAACACAGCTAGAACAGTAGGGTGGCTAGGGTGGTAAGATTTGGGGGGAAGGGGTTGGGCAAAGGCGAGTTGAGCAGGAAACATTCAGCAAGTCAACCTAAGCGATTATTTGCCATTGGGGGTGGCGTCTGCCCCTCGTTACGCCACTGAGTTAGAATTATTTTTATTGAACGATGGTGAAATGGAAAGTTAATTCAAGAACCGACAATGATGATGATGATGATGCCTATGATAAAGATAATTATGAGGATTATGTAAATGAGGAAATGACGTAAATTACATAGAATAGATCAAAAGAATACACAAATTTGATTCTTGACCTCGTGTTATAGTTTTTCTATGCGAATTCTCAAAAATCTTAAATGCAAAAAAATTTCGTCTCATTTTGAATTTAGTCGAACAAATTTTCGTCAAATGATTTGTCCGAAATTTTGTCATGACGAAATTTTTTTAGTCAATGGATATTGTGTTGAAATGATGACGGTTGTGGCCATACACTGCACTTGTCCGTACGTCGTGCGGGAGTTGGAATACGGGCCAAAGAGAGCAAAGGCGGGCCTTGGGGCAACCAATGCGTGTATAATACATAGAAGTAATAAATAAAAATTAATATATTCACAGTTGAGTTGGCAATAAGATCTAGCACTGAGCTAATTTAAGGCAACTATTTACAATGAATATATGTACAATAATGTTTCAAACAATCTACAACTACATTAGAAGTTTCCTAAAGATTTTATGCTTCGTTCAAAAAGCATGTAGAAATTTGGACTCTTTCATTTCAGTAGGTAGCTTTTGCAATTGTTTGGCCAATAAATGTAATGGCCTGTGGGCCCCTTGCTTGACAAAAAAAGAAAATTCAGAATTTGATGATTAATATAGATTCCATAATTACGGAACCCAGAATGGGTCTTGGTAACAATGCACATGCCCCGGCCAACCCCTCCAAGCAAAGAGTAAATGGGGCGGTTGCCCCCAGCGCCCCCCTCTCCGACATCTCTGATTGTAACTGGAATTGGTCAACGCGTTAGGTCAAAAAAATTTGCCTGTATTTTCCCGTTTTCCATAAATTTCCTGAAAATTTGATCAATTGGGATTTCAATGAAAAACGTAGCTAAATTAGTTTGTGTTATATATTTTATCTCTATTAATATGTAATAAAAAATATAATTATCTATATTTAAGCTACTCATATGCGCTTTTAAGTTGTATATTAAGAAATAAAAAACTTATCTAATGGCCGAACTTTTAATTCCCGAATATTTGCCTGAATGCTATCACTGTTTGGAAATATTGGGAGATTTGACACCCCCCCCCCAATACCCCCAGTAGCTATGCCCCTGGAAAGAGACACTTAAAATATTTCAAAATATTTTATATGGCTTTTACCAAGTTGGTAGAAAAGCTTTAATTTTTATGTTTCAGATTTCTATTGATTGTTTTGGTAAGCCGAATACGAATGAGAATTCTGCGTCTTTCTTGCAAGTCATTTGCAGATTTCAAAGTCTCAATAGACGAGTATTCTCTTCCTGGCGCTTATAGCGTGGTTCCAGATACTGATGTAAATGTGTGCAAATCGCTATGTTTGAATGATACAAAATGCAAGTCAATAAATGCAAACAAAAAGGAGAGGGTCTGTGAGCTGCATCATCGATCCATTGCTGATATTGATGATGGGGCCTGGCCACGCCCAACGCAAGGATGGATACACCAGACCACGCTTTTTGATCAAACCTTGGTAAAAGTTCGTCAAGTTCTTTCTTTACAAAATCATTTGTAATATTTTAGTTATCTGGCATTTTGGAAAGAGATTATTCTCATATCAGGCATCCTAGATTTTCCTCTGTTTCACGCAGGGGCGAAACTGCTGGGAGGATATGTGCTGCACCCCCCCCCCCTCCCCAATCTTCAAAAAAGCAGATTTTGTCGGGCAAACTTATGGCTGCCAATGTATCTGTCGGGTGAATATGGAAATCTTGTTTAGATCGCACTTTTATTGCTTTTTTTTGCCTTAGCTTGGTTTTTGAATTTATGGTATTTTCCCCATCTTTTTTTCAATCTCCTCCCAGTTGGGAAAACAAAACAGAAACGAGGCAAGGAACAGCAACATACATACATTTCTGTCTTTCGTCCATCGATCAGCGCTTTCGTCTCGAGCCCGACGCGCATATGTTTATCTCCTCGCCTCGAGATAAAGTCTGAAGTATTGATCGATAGCGAAAGTATAGACGGAAAGTAAAGTGTGTTTGATGCAAGAAGGAAATGAACACAGGGCATGCCCCCCCTATACTTTTTGCAAAACAAGAATGCTTTTTCAAAAAATTTCGTTGTGATTTCTAAATTTTCCCTTGACAAGCCCCCCCCCCCCCAACTTTCCATCCTGCCGCGAAGCCCATGGAACACTGACAATTTTAGCAGCATTATAAATCAAAGCATGAAAGATATACCATCTCGGAATACGTTATTGAGAAAAATCAAGCAATACTTTCTTTTCCAAATGTATGAAACTTTCATCATACATTCATAAAAAGTTATGCCCCGAAGTTCTCTTAAGGTTTTACACTTACGATTCGAAAGTATTACAGTCCGGTTGCACCCTTCGCTAGAAAATGGCCGTACGGCCGCAAAAGTCTTTTAACTAAAAAATTCAAATAACCGTAACAAGTGACAGAAATTTTTAATTAGTTCAAGCGGGAAATAATAGAAAATTTATCAAGGAATTGTAATTAAGATATGAACTGCAAATTACTTTCGAGTTTCGTCTATTTCTGAAAATATCTATGATTACGATAACACGAAAATTGAGCTTTAATGATAGGTGTACCTGTAAGATACTTCCAATAAAAAAGTTTTCTTTGCTTGAGAGATTTTGTTATGGTGAATTCAGAGATACTTACTCTGTGCTTGGGTGTCTAAAATTGTTGAAATTCCTTGAGGAGCAACCGGAAGTTGAAAATCAATCTCAAAAAATGCAACTGAAGCTCTTTTCTGTTGAAGCATTGTAGTCTGCGTAGCTGTTCCTAAACTCCGAAATTTCCAAGCTGTGTTTTGTTGTTTCACTTTGATAAAATTGAGACCCCACTTCAATCTTATTCTTGAATTGCTCTCTTAATAGCTAGGTGATTTAGAAAGTGAAGACTATTTTTCTTTCATAGAAAAGACAGGCAATGGCGGCGCCAAGGGGTGCTATGGGGAGTAATTACCTCCCCACTATTCTGAAAATATGGTCTATATATTTCTTCTAAAAATGGATTAAAAAGCGCTGGATAGAGGTAGATCAAATTTCCCAAGGAAAGTGACGAATCACTGGAACGAGGCAAAAGGGGCGTTGTCACACTGGCCACGCCCATTACCCTCCCACTCTGTAACAGCTGGCGCCGCCACTGAAGACAGGCCTTAAAAATGCTTTTCGGAAACAGCTTGCTTAGACAACACCAGAAAAACTAGAGGCATAACTCTTGACTTTAAACAAACAGCTACCCTGGGTTCCAGAGCGTTAGTGTCGAGGAAATAGGGGGTTGCGGGTGCGGGAGAGTGCGGAGGACTCTCCCGCAACCCCCTATTTCCTCGACGCCCTATTTCCTCGACACTGACGCTCTGGAACCCAGGGTAACAAACAGCCTGCGTCTAAAGACCCTCTCTAGGGGTCCCCGATGATTTCAGCCCTTGAGGCGATGTGCTCTAAAAATGAGGCTCATACATGACACGCCCTTTCATCAAGCATGACACGCCCTCTCGTTGGGCATCTAAGCTTGATACCCCCTAATGAAAATAGTGAAGTTTCGCAGAGTTCCATTATATAGTTGAAAAATTTAAACCACAACAATTTTCGAAAATACATTGCTTGGAACTTTCATCCTAGAATAAAGGTAGGTCTTACTACAAAAAACGAGCTATTAACTTCTCTGTTTGCTTATTTAAAGCTATTTACTGCTACTTTCTAGATGGGTGACTATTGTAGAAGGATCAATCCTTGTCCTCCAAGACGGATATGCAAAGATACTTGTGAATGTCCCGGCTTCAAATGTATGTCCTATCAAGCAAGGGAATGTAAGTTTAATCAATTTTTAATCTACTTTACGTTTATAGGTATGTTTTGTAGATGAAACATTCGACATGAACAGTCTACTGCGCAAATTCCTCTCTCAACACTTTTAAACTAGGAGAAATCAGTGGCGAAGCCAGAGGACAGGCTGGTCAGGCTGAGCCTTACCAACAATTTTCAGTGATATGTTTTTCCCATAATGAAAAAATAACTCTAAGAAAGAAAAACATCCCTTCTTCGCGTCCCTATCTATCATCTTCAGACATTCGCTATTCTGCGGTGGAGCGCTTTTATTTATGGAGCAGTGGTTCACCGCTGATTATGATTATGATCAAGGTCAGGCTCCCAGAAATTTGCCTGACCAACGTCATAGTTTCCCCCAATTAAGCTAGGTGATTGGCCAGAAGTTTCACGTGAACGCATCGTTTCTGACATCTTGATCAGGCTATTTCGCAATGGCCTGACCAATTGTTAAGGAAACAATAAATTCGAGGGTAATAATTCTTGTCACTGTCTTCAAAACAATCAGACGTCTTACTTCATTGGCTAGGGATACAATCTTGTGTGTTTGGCAGAAATAATACCTAGTTTCAAATATGAATTAATACTTTTTCATTCTAAAAAAAATCAAAATTCCTTCGAAGCTAAATGATGAAATTTCTGTTCTAGCCAATAATCAGAAGCCAGTCATTCTGTAAATTCTACATGTACTTTTGGTTGACTTTTGACATCACCATCGCTTACTGCTGATAGCTCACAAAATGAGCTAAATTTGTTGGAAAATGTTTCCAATTCCCTTGTTCCACCATGAATAATCCCTGAAAATTGTTCCACCATGAATAAATTTTAACAAATTAGAAGTAGGCGTTTTATTATTGGGCGTGGTCAAAAGGGCGTGGCATATTATACAAGCCTGAGCCTAACCGACCCACCAAACCTGGCTTCGCCACTGAGGGAAATATTGCCTAATTGCAGTATAATTTGATAACCTATTTTATTTTGCTATTTGTCAGTCACGAATAACTAATTTATCAAAATCTACGATGTATCTCACGCAAAAGCAATGGTGGCGCCAGAATTTGTTCCGATGAAGAGGTTTAACCACAGAAATAGTAAATATAATTAATGGCCAAAATATAATTATAGTTTGCTTCTTATAAAGTTTCTTCCAAAGTTATTCTGTAATCGTAACTCTACATTATTTCAAAGTCAATATGAACGAAATCCTCAGAGATTATGCATCGGTTCCTTAATTATTAGCTGGAAGACCCTGGAAGACCTTCGATTCTGGTGGTGGTGCATATGTTACATTAACCATTCAAAATGGTCCACCACTTTCTTTAGCTTTGTTTGTTTCAATATGATTTCTCGGAACAAATTTCCCTGAACTCTTAGTCGGTAGTGACATATTTTGTAGAACACAGGTAATGAGTTAGAAACCAACGTCAGGTACAAAGAAACAGTCTGAAAATAAAGATAAAACTGAAAATGTAATATCATCAAAAGGAGCCTAGAATACTTTAAACTCAATTGGATAAACTGCATGGAAATTAAACTATTGTTTCCAGTTACTGATTATGAGCACATCAAAATCTTGCACTCACAAAAGTTAGAGTTTCTTAGAGTAGCTTTATCACCCCTGCTATCTTCTAGGGCCAACATTGCGCAAAAGTTGTCTCTACATAGGAAAGTGACGAATGTATACTACGTAAGAGACAGTGCCTTACCTTGCCTTGCAATTTCAGCTTTGGAACCTACCTTGTTTTTAACTGCATTTGTCCTGTTGACACAGATCCTCTATTGTTTTAGTGATGATATTCTTTAAAGAGCGAAGACCATTAACTTGGCATATGGCGGAAAAAAACTGCCGGTCCTTTGGAGGCAATTTGATATCTGTTAAAGATGAAAAGAGGCAGAATATGATTGATAGTAGATTTGCAGAATCTTCTAATTGGATTGGACTATCCTCACATAGGGACGGAATATACAGATGGGTTGATGGCTCTAAGTCAACATATGAAAATTGGGCGGCAAATGAACTGAATCGTTATGGAGGAGCTGCAAACTGTACTTTTGTGCAAGGTGGACAATGGCGCGTTCTTGAATGTGACAAAAAACTGCCTTCTTTGTGTGAAATTTTGAGGCGCAGGCACTACCTTTAAGACATTTGCTATAATTACAAGTAACAGACTGTGAGTGGTGTGAGCATAATCTTTTCCAAAAAAATTTCTGCTGACGAAAAACTCAGCTCGCTACTTCATCACGTGCAATCATAGGCGAAGGAGACAGTGGGGCTGGAGGGCTGTAGCATCCCCCCTCCACTGACCAGGCGAAGTTTATCACATTTTAGGCTCTATGCGAGCAATTCTATCTCGATAAACCATACGTTTTCAGGCGAGATCCGTACTAAGCCCCTACCCCTCTGAACGCTTTGCATCCGCTACACCAATGCGTCAATAAAGTGGATTTGCGGAGATATTGGGCCGGATGAACAATCTAGAAAAAGTTGAAGAAGCTTTTACCATTTACCATTACCATGAGCGCATTTCTGTTTTCATGAGTTTAAATTGCCTTAGGGCACCGTACCGGGTACCGGGGGTTCTAAGAAATGAAAATAAATTCCATTTAGAGCTTATCAAACGTAAGTCCATTATTAGGCACTTATACTCAACACGGGTTGTAAAGCCTGCGTCATAGACCATCACAACCAAGGAGGCACAGTACTTTCAATGGACAAACATTTCAGAATCCAGTTATTTTCAAGATTCAAGCGCATTAGCATTTTAATTTCTATTTTATCAAGAATTTCTAAAGAACGTGAAGGACGTTCTATATAAACCCTAGATCAGTTTTTAAAACGCTTCAATTTTGTCTGAAACATCAACTGCCCTCCCCCTCCCCCCCCCCAGGTACTAATTTGATTGCAGATTTGAACTTTTCAGACACCAACTTTTTGAGCATGGGGAGCGGCCGCCCCTTGCCTTCCTAACCACGTGTGACGGAGTCACTGAGTGCAAGGAAGACATGTGAGGCGAACGTTCGATGGTAATCTCGCATGTATGACGTTATCGTGGTAGGTATTTTTGTAAAGTGACGTAATAATAAGTAGTAGTATAAATAGAGGTTTTGTGCCTCTTGTGCTGATTTGTAACTAGAGTTGTAATGATTTGAGCGATAATTTCGGCGTGGTAGAATTAAAAGGTCTATTTCTTTGCTTCGTGGACTGTTCGAGTAGCTGTTTGCGTTGGAAGCAATATACGACACCATGCTAATGCTCCAGAACCCCCTTTCTAGAAGGCAGAGGTTTAGACAAAGCTAATATGCATGATCAAATGCCAAGCTTATCGCTAATATATCGTAGGCCATGTATAACACTCAATTTCAATAAAAGATATTTCGAATTAGATTTATAATGTCATATCAACCTGCAGTAAAAGCTTCTAGCTCAACTTGGAAGCAAAATTATAAAGTAAATTATAATAATAAACCAAATTTTTGCGCATTTGACAACCACTGTTGTGTAGAATCACAAGAAACCATTGTCAACAATAAAGAGTCTTCAAAATTGAAATTATTTTTGTAGAGCGACATTTTATAGGGACGTAATATTTAATGTTTAAAAACTTTAGTATCGTCTTTTTTCGAGCTATGCCAATTAGACGGACGAAACTGATGACGAAAAAGCAAGGTGTAAACAGCAATTGCACAGCAGCTTGAGAAGTAAATGTTAAATTGTATCCAATATAGTTGTAAGCCAAGTTTTGTTTGACCATACAACTGTAGAATCAAAATTCGAAACTGATGACATGCTTTATTTTTTGCTCTGAATTTTTAATGTTCTCTGATTTTAGAGTTTTAGTGTTTTGACACTATCAATTTAGTGCTTCGTGTATGTGTGACTCAAAAACGATATAGCGACCATGGAGTTTCGTAAAAATTATATTTCCTCTACATCGAATGCCTTTCTATATATTCTAAATCCCAATCGTTATTTGTTTAGTTTAAGCGCCATCTTTATTACCTTTTTTGTGTTTCATTATTTAAACTTCGGTTTGTTTTTATCTTGAGAAGTTTATCTGATTTTTTTGTTCATTAAAGCAAAATTTTTGAAATGCACAGATTTTCCTTCAGAACTGCTCAAAAAAATTTAGAATTGCACATTTTGTGTAGAATTGCATGTTAAAAAATTTCCTGGCATAAGTGTTAACTTTTGATAAGCCTTTTTCTACGTTTGGTACGCCTTGATATCCTAAAGAAATCCATTTTGGCAAAAACATATCCAATGATTCAATAGGTAACTGCTTTTAGGGAATTTAAGCATCTAAGAGGTTGCATTATGGACAAAATTGACTGCTGTTAGTACATACTGGGCAACAGCATATATTTACAGAAAACCAAATTACGAATATTAATTACATTTATATTTGTGGATGATTTGATTCCATTTTGAAGTGAATTTAAGATCTTTGAACATGAGCGATTTAATATCGTAGTTTTCACCTTTGGAATGTGAAATTAGAGTTTTCATCTACGTTTGCCTAATCTAAGTATAATTTTATCAAAGCAAAATATTTATCAATTTTGAAGGTAGCATTTTAAAATCACTATTGCACTATTGCTAGAGCAGCTAAAGTGATTCTTTGAACTCCTGCTTTAAAAACTTCAAGTCTAAACTGTATACTCTCGGCAAGCATGTAATACAGTAAAAATCCGCAAACAAGAACATAGGAAAAAAAGAACCTACAGACTGATTTTATGGAAAATAACACCCATTTAATTTCTTTCTGATTTCTTTCCATGTTCTTATGAGATTGTGCATCATATTAAATAAATTATGAAATTCTCAAAGTCAGAAAGCATAGTTTTCAAGTCGTCATTGTGGTTTGATTAATTGATATTCAGAGCCATGTCATTTTATTTTCTTTTTTTCATATTGTGATTGAAATTGGTTTGTCCCCAACAGAATACCATATCGTCCTCTACAATTTGAAATTCAGTCAGGCCATTCTCAAATCTAGTTACTTTTACCTTGTGCATCATAGTTGTTAGTGTCTTTGCGATAATAACCACAACCTGAAAATATCATGAGTACCACATTTATAAGAACCTAGTCAATCTGTTCTTTAGAAAAGTAGATTCTTGTTTGCGGGGTTTTAATGTAATACGGTTCTAGGCGAACTCTAGTTCAATCAAGACCCTTCAGAGGCTTTGAATCTATGCATTGAACCCTAATGCCTTATTACCAAAACCTTATGAGACCGAACGACTCTTTAGCATTGTGTACATAAAACCGGCACACAAGAAAGTGAAAGCTATTGACGTCGCAACAAACAGTAACGACTCAAGTGTACACCCTCATGAAATTATATCTGATTAAGTTACACTTAATCGTAAATTTTATTTGTTAAGGCACTGTTATATGCCATCTTATCGTTAGCTAAATTACTTACTATAAAACCAACTGCTGAAATGGAGTGGGTCTTTTAGAAAGGATGGAACACAAAGATTGATTAGTGACTGGGGCACCAGTGACCTCTAATCTGCCCCTGAAATGGAATGGAACAGTGCTACACTCAGACCATGTTCGCTGCAAACTTGTATAGATAGTCACAAAATGTTTGAGGTGACTAGCATTTTGGAGTTAGGAAATTGAGATAATATGTTTTAGTGTTAGTGGGGCTGTTTCACATCTTGGTTAGTAAAGGTTCGCTTTGGTACACACAAAGGGCCGGTTCATATAGTGGTGTGGTTCCATATTTGGGCTCTTTTTAAATCTTACAAGATTTTGTAGCAAAGAGTGATTTCATATTGTAAGGTCGTTTCATATTGCAGCGTCGTTTCATACTTTGTAATATGGTGAATTCAGCCCTTGGACGTTTATTTGGACTCAGGGACAATAATCTAAAAAATGAGGCCTCGAACTAGACTGTCAGCTGGTAATCAAACTGAGGCTGAAACTAGTCATGCAATGTAGCGATTTCATGTGAACAGACAGCATGGCGGAGAATGGCTGAAGATTTTGGTTTTTGTTGTGTAAGATAGGATAAAGGATGTTTATCAACATGGATTTTGATTGATTATTCAAAATGTATCTAGCTGATACAAGTCTCATTTTTCAAGTCTGACTCACGCTGCAACAAAGGAATGGCACAGAATATGTCGCGAAAACTGTTTGTGGCTGTGCCTCAAGCATTGCATCAGGCCAGGGAATATTATAAGAAATTATTTGGAAAGTATTTATTCATCACAAATACTGTTAGTTACGTGACACTTTTCGGGCTTGGAGATGCCTTGACACAGCTGATGGAGCGTCGAATGCGAGGCGAAGATCGTAATCATGATTTTCGAAGGTCCCTGTGTGTTATTGCATTCGCATCCTTCCAGGGGCCTGTGAATCATTTCTGGTATCTTGGGCTAGACAAATTCATTAAAGGTACCATACACAGGACAGTTTTCAAGAAGGTTTTAGCTGATCAACTAGTCTTTGCTCCTTATGCATGTACATCATTTTATCTAGGTAAGTATTTTAAGTTCGTCTTCTCTACTTTTGGCATAAAAAATCCAGTGACAAATCTAGCACTGAAATCTGGGGGGGTGGGTGGGCAAGCAGGGGGCCAGACTTTCAGTTATAGGGGCCAACGCTAGCCATTTCCTTGCGAACTAGTAGAAGCGTGATGGCTCAACATTAGCTAAGATGACCCGATTTTTAGCGCCCCCTAGATAAGTATGTCCTTGGTACAGATGTATCAAGGCTGCTATCATTATGCCAAATAATTTTATTAGTGACGTAGAGAGCAGCTGCGCCCCCTAAGAAAAATAACAAAGATTGTTGCTGGGGGCCCCTAAAGGTTTTGGACCCTTTGTTATTCAATTAGAGGTAACTTTAGTTCGTTACTCACTGTGTTTTGTCTATTTTTCATAGTAGTTTACTGTCTTACCATAAATTCTCTTTTTAGCTCCCCTCTCAGTTAAGCCCCCCTCCCTTATTAGCCCCTCCTTTTCAGAAGGAACATTTTAATCAGCCCCCCTCTCAATTTAGCCCTTCCCCCAAATTTTCACTGATGCTGAAAAAAAATAAACTTGACAAAAAACAGAGATTTTCATTTTATTCATTGGTCGTTCAATACTTTGCATCAAATCAAAATTCACATCATGTCTCTTCCAGTATGACAGATCGGAAGACAAAGATTTAATGTGCATTAAGCACAGGCCATGTGTAGCACAGGCCTTTTATCAAAATTACAGGCTGTTGGTACTCCAAGGGATGAAGTCAACCTTTTTGAATGCTTGATTTCAGAAGGCCACATGGCCCAAGAAGATATTTTAGAATTAATAATTTATGATTATGATGATGACAATATTATTGATATAGAGGGCTGATTTGATGTTTTTTATTTTGCAAATAACAAAAAATTAGTTTACCACTATAAATGGTTTTTTATTAAAGGATATTTATTAAACCCCCTCTCCCAATTTACTAAGACTCTTTAAAGCCCCCCTTTAAAGTGCTGAAAATCAATAAGCCCCCCCTAGGGGGCTTAAAAAGGAATTTATGATATATCAATCTCAATTAGATCAAGCAAATCATTCTGTTACACAGATCATAGAATTTTGATAAACAATAGTAGATTGCCAAGGTATACTGGGATAGTATTGGTATTTCCCTGGGCTGGGCTCCAGAGTGAAAATGGTTTTCAATGGGATGCAGAGAATCTTGGTTTGGGCTTACCCTGCGCATCCCACCACAAGAAGGTGTATCTTGGTGATAATATATAACAAATATAGAATCAGGGCCCCTAGCTTGTTAGAAAAACGCAGTAAAGATTGAATTGAGCAAAAAAACAAGCAAAATATTCTTTAAAATTATCTTGGATCTTAAAATTTCTCTACCTATGCAAAATTTCAAAATATCATGTGCAGATAAAAAAATTCCTGCCAGCTGGCAAGACCTTGGAAAAGTTCCAGCAAATACAAATTGGAAATTCGAAGTTCTAGCAGGATGGTAAAATGAGCAATAAACTTTTGTTCTGCTGTTACTTTTGCTCTTATCAAGCCCCATATGTTGGGGGCAAAATATTAGTCACACTTTATTTACATGTGTTTTTGGCATGTTGCAGTGTTCCTTATTGTTGCAGTGATACAGCCACTGCTAGTCTAAAGTTAATTTTTTTTTATCTTCCCAGATTATAAAAGGCTGAAATGCATGTTAAAGATGTCTTTCTAATTTCAAAATTCTTTTTTTATTTTGAGGTCTTGGTCTTTTGGAAGGTCAAACGTTAAAGACAACAGTTTCAGAAACAAAAGAAAAATTTTTACCAACTTACATTGTGAGTTTTTATCATCATGAGTTTCTTTCTGTATGTATTTTGAGTTGATTTTGACTGATCCTAAACTTGAGGGGCCTCTTGCCCCCTTTTGTGGCAAATATGAGGGGCCTCTTGCCTCCATTTTGCCAATATGTGTAGTTTTCTTTTTGCATGTATTTAGAGTTGGATTTTGATCTTATACTTTTAATAAAAAAGCAGGCCCATGTCACAAATTTGAAGGTGTGGCAAGCCTCGCTAAAGTGCATGAGCACGTGAGCGGCACTCGCAGGCAAACCATGCTGATGAAATTACTGCTGCAGGCGCATCTAAAAAGCAGTCTTAAATAGACTTGTTCAAAGTTCAAGTGTTCACTGTTTTTATTATAACTTTGAATGTTTTAAGAATGGATTCTGGCTGTAGCAGTTTTAGAGAGTCTAAATTCAGTTTCATTTCTTTACATGATTGTCCATTTTAAGTTTACAATTTCAAACCATTTTCTGTGTGCCAGTTATCTTTATAGACAGAAAACAAGTACCTGATGCAGATAAATAGGAGCAGGGCCTACACCCCTGATCCTAAACTCAGTCCTGGTAATATGAAATTTGGAGGCGTGCTAGTAAATGCACACCTTGAAAAGTTTAGGCATTTTATGATGTGCGGTTCATAAAATGGAGACCTTACGATTTTTATGAAGACCTGATGTCATATTTGTATTAGAAGTTGTGTTTGAAAAATTGTTTGAGATTTCCATAAGACCAAAATGTTCTTATGAAATTTTAGAAAAAGTGTCATTAATACACTCAAAAATGCTTTTCAAAGTGGAGTCATCCGAAAACGGAATCATTTGAATACGTGTCGTTTTATTGGGAACAGCAAAGACAGAGGCAATCAAAAACAGAGTTATTCAATCTCAGTTTCAGAAAGAGCTCGAGCAGAGGATATGAGCGGACAAATATGGAGTAATGGAAACACCTACGTTTCGTTCAGGGTAAAATGTGTTCACAAGAATACGAAAAGAACAAAGTGAGAGAACTGAGAGACACAAAAACAGAGTAAAATGGAAACTGGGCCTAATGGAAATGAAGCAAAGAGTTAAAATGCCTCTGGGAATGCCATCAATATAACCCACGCAAAATAAATAAAAATTACTTTAGAGAAAATAAACAAGAAATTTAAAGAAACAAAAGAGAAAAAAATAGTAATTCAAAATGCGGAACTGCACGTGCGATAGAAAGCAGCGCCTCTGGAGTTTTAGGTGTGGGTGGAGGCATGTGCGTGCAATGGCACGCCTGATATTACCATGACTAGATTGGAGGGGCCAGCAGTACAGGTTACCCAAATAAATCATTTAAGCTTTATTTTCACAAAAAGTGGGGAGGCCATGGTCTCCTGCCCCCCTCCAAGTTGCATGAGCCCTGATTTGAATGGTGTTGCAAAACAGTACTTTATAGTGTGTAGTGAATGTTCATGTAGTCCTTTTGTTAACATCTGTTTCCAGAATCCAGTTGAACATCTGAAAAAATTATGATCAGGCCACCATATAGTGCCAAATGATGCATTGTCAGTGTCTTCAGGTGCCAAGAGGTGCATGGTCTTATGAAATTTTTAGAACCAATTTGCCTTTTGCAGACCTTCTAAGTCTCACACATTGCCTGAGAAACAGGCATTTCAGTACTTTCTCCTGTTCATCCGCATCAAAGCAGAATTCTCATGCATTCTTCAATAAAGTTTCTGGTTTATTCAAATTCTTCAGTTTTTCCAAATCCTAGAAAAAAATCCTCTGTCCTAACATGGCCTAGATAAAGATAGTGTAGAAAAGGAATCCAGTCAATCCACAATTTCTGTATAATCCTTTTTTGCCTATTCACAACACTGGTTGCCCCAAGCAATATTTCCTGTAATGTAAAGGAAAACAATCATCTCCCAAGCATATTCTAATTCAACTAGTTATGACAGATCCCACAAAAGGTGTGTCTGAAACCATACTTTACTCGAAGTGAAGGTTTCCAAAGAGTTAGAGGGTATGGCAAGAGAAAAAATTTTCTAAGGGTTATTCCTGGTTCCCCTTTTCATTCATGTGCTACCAGGATTAACTATAGATCCACCTCTGTCCTTGGCAGAAACTCCCCATGGTAGTCCAAGCGATTTCTCCATTCAAAACACTCATTCTTTCAAAAACTGAACCTTGACAGGGCTGTCTTTGCACATTGGTTAATACACTTGTGCACCAGGCTAGACCTGTTCGTGAAGTGTGTCTCTAATTTGAGCAATGAAACCTTAAGTCTTCATCACTGCTACTTTAGCCAGCTTTACTAATGTTTTCATTTATTCTTGAAATTTTCAATAGAATACCAAACCAAAAGTCAATAATATCTTCTAATTATTTTCTTTTAATCAAATTTCATTATCTTTCAAGCCAGTATCTCCTTTTTTCGGCATATCCATTTAAAACAGCTGATTTCATTAAGCCGTATTATCAACATGGCGCAGATCAACTTTATGACATGGTATTTTGACTTTCTGTATGGATGACTGTTTGGCTACACTACAATTGATTGGCTGTGCTTACATCCTATAGGCTTATTCTTAAGATAATCTGTGCATAATCAGCCAGTGTAATCTGTTTTGTTATCCTGGATGATTGTAATCTTCCATCCTCCTCGTATGTTTTAAATGCAGCTTTATGTATACACCTTGGTGTCAATATCATTCACCCCCTAGGAAAAATTTCAAGAAATATTTAATCTTTTTCAGATATTTATAGTCTATCTTAGTTTTTTTTATTTTCTTTGGAGCTACCTATTGTAGCTACATTGAGACATTAAGCTATTGTAATTATAGCAAAAAAGTAATTATTGTGCCACATAAGTAAGTTTTACACTGCAAATAACTATCTTACCGACACAACCCTCCCTCCTGATATCTCCGATAGCCTGCTCATCGCTCTCAATCCTCTACAAAATTTATTTCATTAGAAAATACTGTCAAACTTGAACCGGTATTTAATAATGCAAATTGCTTTTGCAGGCGGATCTTTCAGTTTGGCCAGCTGCTCAGGTGAGTGGATTTTATCTTTTCTCACTGGATGCAGACATAAACATACTTGATCCCTAAGTTTACATTCAGATCAACATGGTTGCAACCACAATAGTTCGCGTGGACACAGCTTTCGATATCATCTGTTATTCTAAGCTGTCGTGACATTATCCATTATGGGACGAGTGTTTATTTGCCTCGTATGTTAGTAAGGATGTTTTCATCAATTTCCAAGGAATGACCAGGGTTCGGTGTACTAGAAATTCCACGGTTAATTTATTTCCTTTTGCTCAACATTGTAAATAATGTAGCTTTCGACATTGACTGTTCTCGTAAAGTTTTTAAAAATCAAACCTAAATGAGAGTTATCAAACAATCTATACCACTATAGAAAGTAAAATTTTGTTCGATTGAAGAACACAACTCTTTTCCCTTCCCTTTTCCTTCCTGTTACTGCCTTTTATTTCCTTCTTTATTTCTGTTAATTCCTGCAATACACTCTTTTTTATAAAAACAATTTTATAACAACGCGTGTCTCAAAATTGGCCAAAATTTACGAACAAATTATGAACAAGCTGAGCTACTGTATAATGTAATGTTGAACAATGTTCCATCTCGAAAACATAAGTGCTATTTAGGTGAATTTCAAAATGTGTCGGCAAATAAAGAGTGTCTCACTCACTTTGTTTGCAAATGAGGCCTGAGCACCTCCTTAGAGCGCCCTCCTGTTTCACACCACATGGATTTATCTTTTTTTTTAAATCGATTTTTGCCTTTCCTTTGACATACAGCTTTCTCTGGCCATTCCTTTTCCTGTGCATGCTGTCCGTTTTCTACGCTTCTTACCATGTTCAAAATTCTAAAACGAGTCTTGCTGTAAAATTACTACCGACAAAGCTCATTCAAATGACGAAGGCATTTTTGTCGTTGCTTTAAGCGACCCCCAAATCATATCCGTATTGTTTGGTTTTGCCTTATCTCTTTTAATGGATTGGATGAAAAGCATTTGTTGCCAGCTCCTACCCTTGCGCAACCCATGATTAAACTCCATTCCACTTGATTTAAAAGTCAGTTTTTTATAGTTCTAATGATAGTTTTTTTGCATTTCAGCTGCTGAATTTCTACGTTGTTCCTTCGCATTTAAGAATGATGTATATCAATTTTGTGACACTTCTGTGGAATACCTTTATGTCCTACATGAAACACAAAGGTGTTACTTCAAGTTAAGTAAATATCCTTCACTACTAGCCGTTATACAAATTGTCATAAGTATGAAAATTTATCACATGCAAATCACAAACTTTTCTTTGTTATAAGATTTTCTCGAAATTTTCATGAATTCGTGATTAACGATTTCGTCTTTTCGCAACGATGTGTAAAGGCTGATTTCCACAGGGCGAATTTCGCATCGAATTCGCTGCGAATTCTCTTCGAAATTGTTTTTTGATTTCCACAAGACTGCGAATTCGCTGCGAAATTATATATTGATTGCCCCAAAACTCAAATTTAAGGCGCCCATTTTCAGAAATGCATGCATGGCGAATGTTCCAAAGACTGTTGTCTTACAAATCAAGCAAATTAACTTTTGCTTTGACTGGTTATTAGGTGCTGCGAAATATTTCGCCGCGAAAAAGTAGAACTCTTTTCTACTTTCTTGCGAATTCGCTGCAAAATCAAAAATCAAAACTGCGCATGCCTTAATCCCTTCGTCAGCAATTTCGCCGCGAATTCGCTGCGAAACTCGCCTCGTGGAAATCAGCCTTAACTCAACTTTGTTTTATAATATTTAAAAACCACTTTATAGAGGATTCCTAGACTAGGGGTATTATGAACATGGTCTATAGCTACTTAGATAATCCTGCGATCATATGACTTTGTTCAAATCCCCCCGAATTATATATTGTTCCTAACTTAAGCCCAAGAAGCAAACTAGCGTCAAATTATGCCATACCTTTAGCTTTACCTCATGGTTAGGCACCCAGTTATATTTCACCTAATTTTGAATCAGCGCACCCAAGGGTTAACTGAAGGGTTAATGTGTTTGCCTGTCCTGGCCTGAGACCTTTTTTACTTTACAGTTAGGCCTGTTGTATTATTACCAAAACGCTAGGAGACCTGAGTCCTTTAGTATTGTGTCGATTCGATCGCTGCTTTGAAGTTTTTGAATGGGACATGTTGTAAGGACATATACATCAACGATTTTTGTTGTTGAAAACAGTCTTTGTTGATGTATAAAAGTGAAACACATGTAAATGCAAAATTTGTGCCATATCGCCGAATTAAGCCTGTCTTTGATTTGATTTCATAAGATTTTTATCTTTTGATGGCGAATTAAATTTATTGAGCCAGGATAAGACTGCATCTCATCTTCTTGCAAATTCCGCATCAAAAGATTATGCTTTCAATTCTACAGCTATTCTAAGGGTGTTAGTGCTTTCCCTGTTTAGGTCTTCTGATCAAGTCAATTTATAACCAAACAAATTAAAATCACTTCGCATCAGTACAAAGTCATATTTGAGCATAGTGGAAAAAGAGGGACCCTGTTTGTAACAATATTTGTATACCGTTTATTCAAAAATAAGATTTATTTTGAGAATGTCATAGCTCCCTCCTCAATGTGATGTCAAATGTTTGTCTCTATAGCGAATTTCGCTGCAGTAAAAATCTGGTAAAATACCAGCTCACTGATATCCAATGCGGAAGCAGAGTCATGTTAGCTCAAATCTAAACATTTTTCTATTTTATGAACTTAAAAATTGCTTCCTATTTTGTCCATGAAGCAATGATTATCTTCCTAATAGGTTATCTCCCCCCAATCTCCCCCTACCACACTTCCTCTCCAAACTTCAATTCCCAACGTAAAGGATGTCATTAACCGTTTATGATTTACAGTTACTGCGTAAAAAATCATTCTTTGAGATTTTCTATTTATATGGATAATCTTTCACACATATTTATTGTGATTCAGTAACATTGATATTTGTCCTCAATTACAATATTTATTCATTGGACACTGGGCACATTTTACTACAGCATTGTGTTATACGTTGTATCATAATTAGCAGTTAGTATTAGTATTAGATAAGGTGCACTCGAATAAGATCACGGATAGATTACAACAAGTTATATAATAGTTATTTTGTATACAATGACCTATAACTATTATGTCGGGGGGGGGGACAAGAACAGGTTTTTTTAGCCCTGTATCGCGAGCATTGCAATAAAAGATATCCTCTCACAAAGTTGTTGAAAAATGGAAATCCTTCGCAAGCTAATTTGCAGTTGTTTTCTAACTAATGCATTTTGGAAGAAACCCTCGAAGCTAGTGCTTGAATTTCACTGTTCAGTTTGTTGTTTTTACTTTTGAATTTTGGTTTTTAGTACGACTGAAACTCAGCAATAATTGGGATATATTATTTAGCACAATTTAGTTCGTTTTGATATTTTGTACGTATTCGCTGAATGTGTATTTAAATTGGTAATTGTATTTGTTATTATTAAATTATTATTAATTGCAAAAAAGAAATATTTTGATTTAGATCGTAGTCGTAGATTGTCGAAGAAGAATAGAGAATCGAAAAACTAGTTTGCCGGATTATGTGTCTACCAAAATACATAGCTACGGATTTTACATAATATCGAATTCCCTATTTTTATTCCTGTTGTAATTTGGCATAAATCCTCTAGTGTAATATTCAGATCGCTATTTGCATTTTAAAATTTATATTTTTTTTCCTGATATATCTGCTTTATTTTGCATGTAATTATTATCAGATATAAAAAAGACGAGAAGCATGAATGTTGAGAATCTTGGCCAATGAATAAACAGGTTCTAATCAACGCAATGGTAGTTATAAAGATAACTCGATGGAGAATACTCGATGTCGAATTGAGAGTGCTGTAGGCCGTTTGATGAGCATTACAGGGAAGGTTCGAAGTTGCTACTCATTGGTTTGCGCTCAGTGCGATCTTCAGGGCTAACCCCTGCATACGCAATTCTATATTCAGCCTTGCTTTGCTATTCATTCTTTCTTCTTTGACTTTGGTTACCATGCGCGTAAGAAAACCATGAAAAAATTCAATCAACTTGTTTCCGATCGAGTTGATCGTTTAACTCATAAAATATACATTTCAAATGGCCTGATATTCAAAGATTTTTCAAGGAAAGGTGCAAATCAAAAGTTAACTTATGACTTTATTTATGGATCATCAAAGACTTTAAGATATTCGGCTACACTGCCCTTTGCATGTGTTTTTTCCAGAATCACATATGATAAGTCCAATAAGTTTGTTGCATATTCAGTTAAGGCTAACAGCATTTTCTTATTTACATGCAAAGATTTTTGTTTAACTCAGGGATTCTCGTGATCGAGGACTTGAAACACCACACAACAACAGGTTCGGGCTCAAAACTGTTGGAAAAGGACAACATGTAATTTGTAAATCAATTTAAGTGGAACCAAGCTGAAAATAGCATGATTTGGAAGCACTCCCTCGGCCCTTTAAACCCATGTAATTGAAGAATGAAACCGCTTACAGGTCCAAGTAATGTGTGCCGAATGAGGTCAATACCGATAGGCAATGGATGTTTTCTAGATCATACAAGTTTTCCTAGAATTGAATCATACTATAACTTGTCTTCAGGATTTGATACTGAATTTCTGGTACTTGACTTAAAAAAACTATCTGGCCGCTAAACTAGAAACCTATGTTATAAAACTCTAACCATTTGCAAATTTTCTTTTGCACTTTAAAAAGCATTTTTTTGTCCCTCGTTTCTTTTTTTAAAACTTGATTTTTTAAATCGACCTATTCCTGGTTCGACTAAAAAAGATTTGTTAATCTTTTATTTAACTGGCCGAATCAACAGTGGCATTTATTCATCAATGCTGAAAGTCTGTTCAACTTTTAATCTCGCTTAATTGATGATTCGGTTTATTTAATTCAAAAGCGGTGACAATTTAATTTAGTTGTTTATTTAGTATTTGTATCATACAGGGTTTTAGTGCTAGGGGGCTCAGGGGCCTGGGCCCACTTTTTGGTACCAAAAAGTAGCCACTTTCCCATCTTGCTATTGTTTCTTGCAATATTTTGCGCAAGACCCCCTTGTCATTTTGATAGCACCAGACGTAGCATATTCGTAGCAATCAAGAAGCGCTCATGGGACAGAGGGTGCTCGACAGTTCAAAGAGCAGTTAAACAATCGTAGAAAGAAAATGATCAATAAAATAGCCTTGTCATTGTAATGAAGATGTAAAAGAACTGACTTAACGCCATCGGATTTAGATTTAAAAGCAACCTGGTTCACTAAAACGTTTTGATGAGATTTTGCTTGCATCGGCAAACTATGGTATTGTAATGCTCAGACAAGGAAGTAGATTGACGGCATGGTGCATTTTTGCATGCATGATTATCAAAATACCCTTTGTTCTTCTGAATGCTTTTCTAGTTTGTTTACGACAATATGAGCAACACGGAAGTACTGTTGAGTAACTTCACAATCGTTCAATTGGTGAAAGACCATTTTGACGCAGAGTTGAAGAAAGTTGCAATTGGTACTACAGAAAACGAAGCATATAATATTTTCAGCATCCGAATTGATGAAAAGATTATCTCACTGTAAGTAACGGTTTTTGCATGTTTCGTATCTAGCAATGTGTTTGTTTGCTAATCTAAGTCAGGCCCGTCGGAACCGGGGGGGGGGCTGGGGAGGGGAGGGCCCCCAATAATTGTCAGACTGTAGTATATTTCCTTTTTAACAGTGTACTAAATGAGAAGGAATACACTTGAAAAAATTCAATGCTGTTGATGAATTGCAAAGTTGCGTACAAGTAGATATTTATATGACTTACTTGATGTATTAAAGATTCATTCCCTATTAAAGGTCATGTGTGTACATACTAATTAAGAACTATTTGCATAATTACTTGATTGGTATTTTGCGAAACGAGGTACACATGGATGGGAGGTTATTGAAAATCGGGCAAGCAAATGCCTGAACCAGGTTTTCGACGCCTTTTCTTGCAAATTTTTTGGAAAAAACGATATAGGAAAAAAGGGGGGTCTATTGTTGAACCTTTTTTCCAAGAGGGAGTAATCGATCAATTTTCAGCATCCACAAGAAGAGCTTAGACCTAGGGGTACGAAGCCCCAAACAATTTTTTTCTTGGCCTAGTACTAGTTATCCCTTCACCCTGTACCACAAAAATCATAAACATTGGACAACAACATGCTAACACAAAGGCTTTCTCTTTTGCCACTATCTACAAAGATTCAATGGAACACATGTCTCTTTCATGCCCCTGCCTCGTGTCTGTTTTGTCTTTTTCGGTATGTTTTGTCTTTTACACCTGGATGTTACGGTTGTTGTTTGTAATGGTGCTGCTCAATCGTATCAGATTACAAAGCTTTATTTTGGTACCTTTATGTTATATAATTCAACATTTTTTATATCAATGTTCGTATGATGTCATGCATTTAAATCAATAGTATGGTAAGTGATTGTAACGTATAGCTTATGGTCAAAATATTACCACAAAAATGTCACGCTGGTCCGCGTTTTATTGTGTGCACGAGCCACAACAGAATCTTATTTTCTTTAAACATTCTTATCTCTGTAGAAAAAGAGGGCACACTTTAAACATTACCTGTAGAGAGACATTCGAAGCTTTGGTCATCAAAACATCTTCGTTTGGAATAAAGGGAGGGCAAACTTAAGAATCACTTTATGAAGATAGTAAAATCACTTTGATGTACCTTACTGAAAAGTAAAGGATCATGCTCCCTGACCACACTTACCTGTGGCTCAAGGAATTTTCAATGATTTCGTTTTTCGAGACTGATGTGAGTAACTACGTATATGTAGATTATCTAAAAGTAGAACAGTACTTAAAGTTCAGGGCCCCCATCAAAGAGGGGGGCGGGAGTGGCACGCTTACTTAAATGCTTACTTCTATAGGTCATCGTTGATTTTCTTCTATCTAGACACAATCCACCGTAAGCCCTGCATATCTGTGTACTTCGCGGCCTTTCTTTCCATGCAAATAATTTTCATATGTTTTAAGACCGCTCTTTGACCAGAAGGAAGAAGGAAAATAATTTGTAAAAGGAAACGAATTCCAATGTGATATATTTCCTTCCTATTTGGGTTTTTTCCAGTTCTCGAGCACTTGCTGCGGAGTTTCTTCTGCTTGAGTTTCTATTGACAAGAAGTCTTTCCACTTTAGGTAAGTTCAATTTATGCTTAAAAATCAAAACCATCAAGAGATCTTATTTATAATAAATGAAAAGATTTTTTTAGTCAATGAGTCTTCATAACATATCCATCTATAAGGCTGATTGTTCTTAATTTTTTAGAAAATCTGAAACTGGATTGTTCTTGATTTGTTTTTAAATGTATAAGGTATGAGCAGTGCGATTGTTAGCTTTTTCGCTCTAGCGAGGTGTTCAGGCCTCATTTGCCAACAAAGTAAATGAGACAGCCCTCATTTGCCGACAAGTTTGAATATTCACCGAAAAAGCACCCAAACATGTCTAAAAATCTTCTTTTTAAGATAAAACGTTGTTCAAAATTGCATTTTACAGTAGCTCAGCCTCAGCTTGATCTTAATTTGTTCTTAACTTTTGACCAATTTCCGGCTCATGTTCTTATAAAAGAAAAGGGGGAATTGGTCTCGCGGCCTTGCTGTTTTTGATTTGCCTTTAAAGCAACTTTACCATTTTACGATATTCTCTAGATATTGAGGCCCGAAAAATATTCCAGTACTATATGAACCCACAAAGGGATTTGAGCATGTGGCTACTCAAAAATGTGTTTCATACTAAAGCAAAGCCCAAGCCAAGATCATACCCTAAGCATCGGTATTTTAAACCTACATATCTCTCCACCCCTTGGATCAACTCAAAAACATAGGAAGCAGATATAACGATTGCTAGGCAATTAGGGAGAAAAGAACTAGAGTCTACCGAAGGTACATTTTTTAAACTGAACTGAACTGAATCTCATCCATAATATGGTGTACAGATCTGTCATATTTGAGGTCCAAGAATTTTGCATCTAACTCCTTACACCATCTCCACAAAACATAATCAAAGATTGCAAGCAGAAAAAGAAACGACTTCAGTGTATATTTACTGGCCTTCTTTGCATATTGGCAATAGATTACCCCCGGCCCCACACGTGCACGATATACGTCCCTCGCAAAAATGGCGTTAGGATAGGGAAGGCTGTTAAAGATACGGGAAAAGAAAATTTTGCAATCAGACCACCATGTTGTGTCCATTGATTGAAAGCTCAGAATTCGCGAGGAGCAGCCATTTATTCTCCATAAATCAATTACGATAAGGTAACGATAAGGCTGAAAGATTGGTTCCTAGCACACCATCAATGCATACAGGAAAACTTACTGCTGTTTTTGTTACATTTTCTTGAGGGGTTGATGTCGGCAAAACGACGTGTTTTCTTTTAGCTTTCAAAAGTTTCATCCGGTGATTTCCGTGTCGTGGAAGTTTTTTAAAAGGTAGTCATCTCTGTCTTTAATAAGCAGCAAACTTTGTGGATAACTTAACAGCTTTAGTTACGTTAATCCCGCAGGAATTGTTAGCGAGAATTGAATTGAATTAAATGAATTATTAGAGAGATACTAAATTAATAGCTTTTTCAATTGAATTGAATTAAATTAATCATTAGAGAGATCCTAACTTAATACCTTTTTCAATTTAGTAGGCTCAAATTAGATTTTAGCTATTCTTATTATACGTGTTTCTTGCCTACTGTATATAAATTTATAATAATGAATTATATTAATAATGATAATAAAAATAATAATGCCAGTGTCAATAGGAAATTAAAAATTTCAATAACTTTCAGGGCATCAGTCTCCACGAGCCCCTATATGTGCTATGTAAAATTTCAAATTTTTCTGTCTTCCATATTGTTTTACGAGCAATACTACCACAACAATTTTTTTTCAAAATTCAAATTCATTGTAGTTCGACAAAAGTTACAAGTCGAGGTTTGTTCTCGTTCACATACATTACATGATACAGTCTGCCACTACGCTCCGTCCTGGACTCAGAACGGATGCGTAATGATAACTTCGTGTCATGCGCATGCACTTTGACTCCAAGAAGGAGGGCTGCCTTGCTTCACTCAATAAAATACTCTCTCTTGCACGTCACAAGTGCCGCATCTTTGCGATTTTGATAACAACCATTGCGAGTTGGAGAGCTTCCTCGTTTCTCTGCGCAGCCCTACCAAGGTAACCATAGAGGAAACAGCTTGCTTTCCTCCATATTTAAGTAATTCTTTCTGAGATACGGAAGTGCTCTTAATAACTGTAAATAAATCCGGACCATCTGAACTGTTGGATATATTTGAATCTGATACTAAGCTTATTGTTGGGGTCACCTTGACTTGCGATGAGCTTCATGTTCTGAATGCCGCAAAAAGTTTTATTGCACTTCCTTTATCGGCTGTATACACTTGGCACGGACATCGATTCCACTTTTATTTCCAATTCACACACAAGGAAGTAAACAAAATACAGAAAAAGGTTAGATTTTCCATATTAAGATTCATTAAAAAAATTACATTGCAGTCTTGATGGATTAATAGGAGAAAGAAGGAAACTCCTCAATCATTTATTGCAATCCAATGATCAATCTAATAGAGATTTTTCCTTACTAGGGCCAAATTAGCCCAAGGCCGTACATCCTTTGCTTTTTTCGTTCGGAAATATTCTGGTTGCTTAAATAAGATTTAATTTAAAAATATTCAAGCCCACAACAACTAGCTATGCTTTTCAGAGTTTCCTATAGCATGCACGTAATTTGAGGCCATTCTAATGCCGCTAATTTTCACTTAAAGACATGACAAAGTGATAAGTAATGTTCCAGCAATCCATGTCTTCAACCATGTAACAGTTTTCTTAGTGAGATTGTTTGTTTTTGATAGTATTATTTTGACAGGTTATGCCGATGAACGAGAAACGTATTGTCTTCAAACATTGTTAACTATTATTATACAGAGCCCCAGCTTCAATTTGCTTTTGAATTTTTACCAATACGAGGCTGTTCTTATAAATTGTGCTTATAAATAATCCGGGCATTTTTTTAATGCTGAGAAAGTTCTAGTCTCTTTTTGCCATTTCCCAATCAAGCAAATCCTTGATAAGCTTTGACAACAGGGTACCAGGACGTTTGTGTGAAGTCTTTGGCTATGGCTCTTTGGCTATGGCTCAGCATTTTCAAATTTGCCTTTGCGCCTCTGTGAAAATAAGTAATTTGTTTTGTGTTTTCGTATCAGCAACATTTTCAAGTGAACTAGAACCAGGCCTTTTGCAACTGGGTTTTAGAAAAATTGGTAA